TAAAAAATAAATATATATATATATATATATATATATTTAAAAAAAATAATTAAACAAAATAATTAAATAAAAACATAATCATGAATTTCATGTTAAAGGTTTTGAGATTCACTGCACTAACATTAAATACACAAGAAGAGTATAAATGTGGGTGATATTAAGTAAAATATAACAATACAGTTGAAACAAAATGTGCTTATTTAACTTAAAAATCATATTTTTTAAAAATTCAGTGATATTTTAAATTGTATTTGACATTTTTAAATGTAACAATAAAATAATTAAATAAAATATAAAAATTGTTGTTAAACAAAAATGTAAAAATAAATAAATAAAAAATTAAATAAAAACTAAATCAGGAATTGAATGTAAAAGTTTTGAGATTTACTGCACCAACATTAAACACATAAGAAGATTAGAAAATGTGGACAATATTCATTAAAATATAAGAACACAGCCAAAAATGTGCCAAAAAAAAAAAAAATAATTACAATATTGTTTTTAAATGTTATATAATATTTTCATGTAAAAAAATGTAATCGATGTATTTTAAATGTAATTTAAACCTATTTATTTGAATACTGATTATACAATATTCTTCCGATTCAAACCACTTGAGATCCCATGAGATCACGTATTTCCTTCAATCTTGATAAAGCATGTGGTGGTATCTACATTGCCTATAACAGTAGTATGGCTCTACTCCCACTGCCTGCTTGGCTGCTTTGCATTTAAAAACAGGGCAGGCTTTTGCTAGTGGAATATTTATAGCATTGCATTAAGCATGAAATCAAAGGTTTTAAGTGTACCATTGCAACATCGGCACTCCTCTGTTGAGGCCTGCCCAAAAATGCCTGCCCTTTGGCTGTTTGCAGAGCTGAGCTGTTTCAATGCGTATCCAAGCTTCATTACACATTGACCTCTCTTATGTCAAGATCCCAGCTACTGGTTAACATGCAGCCAGAGGTGACGAGGGCAAAGTAAAATATGTATTTCCATATTTTAAAGGAAATATGTGTTCAGTTTGATCCATGCATTTCCTAAGAGATGTGTTTGATCTCTGAAGGTCAAATCTCAGATAATGCTGCTGCCAACCTGTAAGGACTGTTGAATTGATCATGAAAACATGGAATGCATCAGTTCACGTGATCAAGCACAACACAGCTGTCTAAGCACAGGCATGTGAATGGAGATAAGAGCATTTGACAATGACATCACTCTACGCTGCACCAGGAGGCTTATCTCATCGCCTTCGCTGTCCCACAGACCCCCATAACCAAGAGCTTGTGTTGTCTGGAGGCGCTTCAAATACAAAAGTCAAAACAAACTCTCTATGGAAAAAAGCTGGAATCCCAATATTATGCACCAGAGCTGTTGTTTCACAAAACAAAACAAAAAAACAAGAAACCCATAAAAAGACTTTTATTGGAAAGGCAGCTTAGAACTTCTTATCAATTCTTTTCTTTGCTATGCTGCCCTCTTGTGGGTAGACATGAGAAACAAAGAAGTCTTGAAATGTGAATTGTGAAACTTGTAAATACAATTAGGTGCATATTTATTTGATGTAATATCTTATCATAGTCCCCAGCTCAGATTAATTAGTGTTAAGAGATGAACACTAAATGCGTGTGTCAACAGGAAAGAATAAAGCTGTTCATTTCATTCATTTCCTGGAGACATGTGAATGGAGATAAGAGCATTTGACAATGACATCACTCTACGCTGCACCAGGAGGCTTATCTCATCGCCTTCGCTGTCCCACAGACCCCCATAACCAAGAGCTTGTGTTGTCTGGAGGCGCTTCAAATACAAAAGTCAAAACAAACTCTCTATGGAAAAAAGCTGGAATCCCAATATTATGCACCAGAGCTGTTGTTTCACAAAACAAAACAAAAAAACAAGAAACCCATAAAAAGACTTTTATTGGAAAGGCAGCTTAGAACTTCTTATCAATTCTTTTCTTTGCTATGCTGCCCTCTTGTGGGTAGACATGAGAAACAAAGAAGTCTTGAAAGGTGAATTGTGAAACTTGTAAATACAATTAGGTGCATATTTATTTGATGTAATATCTTATCATAGTCCCCAGCTCAGATGAATTAGTGTTAAGAGATGAACACTAAATGCGTGTGTCAACAGGAAAGAATAAAGCTGTTCATTTCATTCATTTCCTGGAGAAACAGAGACAAAAGCCACATTAAACATTCTGAATGAAAAGACAAAAACTTTATTCGACATGAAAAACAAAAACAAAACACATATTTAAAAATTGTAGTTCTCTATAAAATTTAGCACACAAAATATAGCTTTTCTTTGATACTGTAGGTCAAATCTACCCTAATGATTCAATAACAAATGATAAACCCCTTTTAAGGGAAAGGATTATGTACAAACCACTGGCCTTGCAGGTAAAACAAGTTCAATCCAGTATACAGCTTTTCGCTTTTTAAACCAAACTTTTACAGGTCAAAACTCAAAATCAATGAACTCAAAATGTTTTAACACAATTTCCTAATTACAGATTACTATGATAACATTTAGATTGGTTTCACTCTAATAACTGACTGACCAAAGTTAAAGAAAATATATTATTGAAAAGGAGCGAAAGAAGCACTATTAGAAATAAATGAAAAGCAAAAGCAATATGAATATGAAAGATGTCATGAATAAATGTGTACATATTCGCTATTTTTACAATATTATCAAAGCATTTAACTGGACACAAAAATCTGAGTATTGAGTGCACACATCATGCTGTCAAAAGCAAACAAACAAACAAACAAAAAAAAAAAACACACAAGATGGCCTTGCCACTATTTTGCTAATTTACATAACATTACAATTGTTAATCATTGCAGTGAATAAATGGTAATGTGCATGTGTTGACAGTGTGTAGATATCCAACTCGATTCTTAGACATGACAAAAGTAGTTTTAAGGATCACATGATCATCATAGCAAGAGCTACCAAGTGTCAGGATTTTATCTGCTTATGTAAACAAAGAGAAATAAACTACAATTATTTCAATGTTCATCAGTAAACAAAAGATGTTATGTATTAAATGACACAGAACTGAATAAATGAAGCTGATGATGGGAAACCCATCTACAGTATAAGGAGGATAAAAGAGTAAACATCCCTGAGTTATCCAGTTTTGGTTCAGAATGAAGTGCATTTCAGAATGTTTGACCTTTTTCCTTATAACCAAAATGTGGTGGTAAAGTTAATGAACAATAACAAGGCAAGAAAACCAATTGCTTCATGATGTCAGAATTCTGTAGATGAGGATGAAAAAGTAACACAAAAAACAATTACCCAAATATATTACAGCAATGACTGAAAAACATGATTAGGCCCGTAAAGTATGGTTTATAAATGGTCATGATTGTGAGTGATGGACAATGCTACTGTATACTGTCATACATAAAAAAGCCCTCTAAACTGGCCAAAGAACAAAACTAAACTAAACTAAGTGCAGTCTATAATCCCAAGCTTTAAACAGTCCATTGTGAGATAAAAGAGGTGTCTTACGGGTATCAGTAGCCCTCTGAAATCTGTTAACGCAAAGTTAGAAGTGTAAAACGGGATGACACCTTAAGGAAACCAGATGTTTTTGGAGTGCACACACTGAATTTGAATATTCATAATCTTTGATGTATAGAAAGTACCATCTACAATGAATACATAGTTAAACCCTGATCAATAAGCATCATTAACCACTTGTTATTTGAAACGGACTCTTAATTTATGCAGAAAACAATATCATTGAAATAGATCATAGAAAAATCGAATGATACTATTCTGCATAAAAAGAAACGGCGACAACCCCATGTCCTAACTCTTCTCTTCATCTATATCAGTATCTTCCTCTTCCTGTCCTTGCACTCGGACCTCACAGCTACCGGAGTCACGTGACTCTTCTACTTCTTCAACATCCACTTCCTCTTCCTCTCTCTCCTCGTAGGAGGATTCCCCCTCATCTCTGTCATTCTCTTCTGAGCCTAAGAGAAAAATGATCAGTCATGAGGATTTAGTAATAAAATCCACTGTGTTTTTAATAGCTTTGACAGACTTATTGTAAAACACTATATATTAAACACTGCCATAATTGTGAAAAGGAAAACCTCACCTCCAACTTGGTCATCATCTTCATCCTCCTGCCCCAAGTTTTGGCTCTTCTCCTCATCTTCATCTGAATCGGAGATGATCACACACTCGTCTCCATTATTGCTGCCCTGACGTTTGGGAGCGTTGCTGGACAATGGAAATTTGTCAAAAAAATAAATAAAAAAAGCAAAACATACACTTTGAAAAATCTGGATGTTTCTGGCTAGGGATTACCTGCCATTCTCTCGTGGCTCCCAGAGTGGAGTCAGGTAGTACCTCAAAGGATTTCTGTACAGGTCATCCTTCAGGATCTAGAGCCAAAGGAATGAGAGTAAATTTTTTTTAACATCATCCTTTCCGGTGTTTAAGGATTTTGATTTGGCCTGTTCATACAGCTCTTTCTCCTGCACCTAACATCATGAGAGATGTACCTGTGCGATGTCATCCCTTCCTGGATTGCTGTGGTCACTGAACCAATGGAAGAAGCTCTGGTAGACTCCCTGTGATGTTCGACGTGGTTCTCCACTACCGACCAGATTCTGCCCTCTGTGCCACAAAACTGGGTTTGAGAACGACACCGGAGAGCCTGCGCAAAAAGGAAAGCACATGCAGATAAAGCATGATTACCCTTTTCAAAAAATAAAAAAACTCAGAAAAAATAAATGTGTCTCAGAGTAATCCGTTTCACATTCCTGAAAAGAAGGTGACTGTGATAGTGGTCAGCTCACCTCCCATACCAAGATGAAGTTCTTTCACTATCATTTTGTTTTGAAAAAAGGGATTTCGCCGGAAATGGAAGCAAATGCGGTATCCAAGTTTGTTGTTCTTGAAAGACTCAATCTGTTGAATTATGAGCATATTAAACAAATATAGATAATTTGCAGGATTTGAAAACAGGAAAAAGAAAAAAACTGAAAAAATTTATTACCTCTAAATTAGTCATGTAGCTTAGAGCATCTTCATCAGTCTCGTCGATTTGCGCTGATAGAAGTGGGTGATTCAGAAGCTGATTGGCTTTAAGTTAAGCACATAACGTAAATGAAGACAAAGATCTGGAATCCACAAGACATTTGACGCAAATGGAAATACAAAATGAACATAGAAGTTTCAAGCATGATCAGTTAAGTTGCTAGGGATTCTGGGCCCATTGCACAGAATTGCTATAGGGCCCCCTCAAAATTCCAAAGGACATCGTTGTGGGCCCCTCTCAGCCTCTGGGCCCTATGCACTCTGTCCCCCTTTTCCCCCGGTTGTGACACCCTCAAGGTGACAGTTAATATCTTCAGGCATTGTAAAGAATGCATCTCATAACATCCACCTAAAAATCTAATTGGATGCCCACACCTTTTGACCAATTAAATTTAAATTGGTGTGTGTTTTATATATATATATAAAAACTCAACTTCAAAGGCCTTGATACTTAAGTTGTCCACCTGAACGTCATGCACACAGTTTTAAAGGATACAGCAGTGACCCAGAAGCCTGGGATGGCTTGAGTGATGGCGCTGCGCTGGTCCAGGTGAGGGCGTCGCTGGCGGCTCAGTCTCAACTCCAGGCGTTGATGCAGACGTGCGCCTTTTTTCTCCAGCGCATCCAGCCGCATCTGCACCTGTGCTAGCAGCGCCACGGACTGCCGCACCTCCGGGGCCATCTTCACCGACACTATGGCACACTCACCGTCCTCGTTATCCTCATTATCAGAGGCGACAGACGAGCTAGCCGTGGAGGAAGAGCCAGGAAGGGAGTCGTCATCCTCCTCCTCCTCCTCATCATCATCCACAAACGATGCCTGCTCTGGATCTTCTCTGTCCTCGCAGAGCAGCAGGGATGAGGAGCTGTCAGCAGCGGCTGCCTCCGTCCTTCTCTCGCTCTGAGAGCAACCGGGACGATTAGACTTATCCCTAGATTTCTCTCGACTCGCTTTTTTGGACGAACAGGCCATTTCTTTACAGTCTTCGTCCACGTCTCCACGGGTCAGACTGGCAAGCGCTTCTGCTGCGGCGATAGCAGCGGAATCTGACGGCTGGCGCCCGCTCTCATCTCCACCAGCCTGTCCTGTGCTCTCCTGCGCGGCAGATCCATGTTTTGGCTCATCATTGCCAACTTTCTCAGGTCCTGCATCTTCATGAGAGTCATTCCTTGGTTCCTCATCACTTACTTTCGCCTGCTTGGGCAGCGTGGACTCAGATTCTCCACTTGGACTTGCACTTCTTTTCGTCTGGTTAGTTTCGGACGGCTGACTGTTGTCCGAGTTTGTACTCATGATACCGACTGGTTGTAACTTTGACGTATATGATTATCTTAAAACGGGTTTTAAATTATAATGGTGTTAACTGTGCGGGTCTCTTTCCAGATCCCGCGTTCGCATTACAGCACTGCCAAATTTCAAGTCTGCGCAAATGTCAGCAGGCCTAGGTAACGTTAGCTTCCTAACGCTCAGTGAGGCTAGTTTAAATTCTCGCTCACGGTCGCATATCGAATATTTCCGTTTGTATTTAGACACAGTATTCGTAATATTGAGTTACTTTTCCCTTAAAAGTCACAATTCGCCTAAAAATTTCCCGTTCTTTTGTATTTGTTTACAGTTTGCCCTTCCGTTCGCCATTTATCAGAGGCTTTACATACGAGCGCGAAAACAAAGCTCTGATTGGCTGAAATGCACCGCGCAAAAATCTCTCGGCCAATCGTAGACGTTGTACTGCAGTTGATGACGAGCCATTTCACGGAGTACATCACCATTGCGCTGCATTTACGCACCGTGAAATATTTCTGACTGGGACTGTTTTGTATTATATTTTAGATTATAAGAAGCAGAACTTGACGTTGCGTAGTGTATATTGTACCAGAAGAACAGTCTTACAGTGCTGGATTGCATTGCAATTTGGACATTTATTTGGATATATGATATTTTAAGACATTAATGTACAGTTATTGTTTAACAGCATATTTATCAATATTAAATTAAGCACCATATTAAATGTATTTACATAGGATGCCATTAATATCATCATTATTATTGATGTACATTTGTAGGCATTATAAATATTGATGTACTTGTACGTTTTAATCGGTACATTTAAATGTAAGAAGGATAATGAAAAGTTTGCTGAACACCCAGTTCTTAACTTTATCTTTGGATTATGTAAACTTCATATTGATTCCTTATGCTTTTTTTTTTATTTTATTATTATTTTTAATGAAAACCATAATTAGGTCTAAACCAGACTGCTAGCTATACATGTAAAAACAACCCTTTTAAACAATCATATTTATCATTCTTACAAAAAAGTTTTTAATGTTAGTGGTTGAAATGTTGTTGCAATCTCTTAATGAGAGTCCATTTGAGCCTTACTTCTGATAAGTTTCACTTTGTGGAGTCACAGGAAACAGGTGAAAAGGTGTCATCCAGCCCATATCCTGGTCCCTGGAGGAAACAGTGGTGCAACTGCAATAAATCAATGTCTTATGATTCTCCCACTTCCAACAATACACTTTATTAGATCCATCCCAAGTAGTTTTTTTTTTATCTTCACTACTCAACCATCTTAAAATCAACTTTAACTTCTTGTATTTGTACATACTTGTACATATAACCAACTATCAACCAGCAGTGTGACATGCAGTAGTAAAGTACAGTGTTACTGTCACCCCTATGAAGAAGCAAAGACTGTTTACCTGTGAAACTTTTGTCCTTTTCTTCTTAGAAATTCCTCTTCATCCACAGTCCAAACAGAACCTTTCCTGCCTTCAACGCGCACAAAGCACTTATGAAGACTGAGGTTATGCCGAACAGCATTCTACGCACAGGCAAAGATACGTTAGTTACTTGTTAAATCATGTTACATCTAATAGGTTGTACCTATTAGGAATAAGATTCACGTAGTCTTCCCTAACATAAAACCACTGTAATTTCACAGCCAGGTCATCACTTTCTATCATTAACATACAAGTTGTGAAAGTTTTCTGGTATATAAACCGGAGGCTGTGGCTTTCAGGATTGGCTTGTGTGCAGTGAGTCATGGAATGACAAATATAATAGGTTTACAGTACAAATACGGCATCTTATACCTTCCATGTGGCAGTGTTGTGACGAAAGTAGAAAAACATGCGGGTAAACCAATGATAGATTTCATTCAGAGTAAGCTGCTTCTCAGGGGACTCCAGGATCGCCTAACATAAAAGACCGCTTTTGTGTGACTGACAGGAAATTAAAAGGTAATATACAGGATGTTTAATTCAGCAGTACTTACCCATCGTATCATGGAGGCATAGGTGAAAGGTGGCCTAATGTTTGTGAACTTATAATACTCAAAACTGGGGATAATCCCTATCGCCAGAAAAAAAAATGAAGAAAATAATTACATCATATACCGTTGTGTTGTATGTGGAGATGAAATATGAATGACTGGTAATCTTACATTTAAAGGGGTCATATGATGCTGCTAAAAAGAACATTATTTTGTGTATTTGGTGTAATGAAATGTGTTTATGCGGTTTAAGGTTCAAAAAACACATTATTTTCCACATACTGTACATATGTACAGTATGGTTTCTCCTCTATGCCCCGCCTTTCTGAAACGCATCGATTTTTAGAAAGCTCATCGTACTGAAAAGCGAGGTGTGCTTTGATTGACCAGCTATCCTGTGCGTAATGATTGGCAGAATACCTCAAGCGTGTGACGGAAATTTTACGCCCCTTAACATACTGTGATGCCCTGTCCGGCCGGAGCGACAAGACAAAAACATTAAACAGTGTTGTAAATACAACTTAACCACTGATTTCTAGTCGTGTTTTGCTTTCACAACGAAACACAGCGTCACACAGGGCGGGCTAGAGTGAGCAGAGGCCGGCTTGAGTGAGCGACGGCCTGTGGGCTTAAGAACGGCGCGGCTGGCGGATTCGGCGTAGGAGCTTCTGGCGGGCTTGCGGCAACCACATGTGACGACCCTGGGCTGGGTCCGGCGATCGACAGCGCGAAGTTGATGTATTTCCTCAGCAACCAGCACGGATCAGCTCCAGGCATGACGAAGCAGATATCGTCCTCTTTTTGAAGGCCAAACAAAGTAGTTTCGCTTTCACAACGAAACACACAGCGCCTTCACGACATGGCGGCAGCAACAACAATACTACAGCGAGAATAAAAGTTATGCCTTCTTTCTTTGCGTGAACATTTGGGCGGCGTTATGCAAATCTTCCCACATCGTGACGTAGACATGTGGGGGCGTGTTAGAACCAGCCGTTTTAGGTAGGCGTGGTTGACTCTTAACTTTTATAAAGAATATCTCTTTGGATTTGAGACTTTAGTCTTTGCAGCTTTACAGATCTTCTTTATGCACCAAGAGCTTGTAACACTCCAAAGAGAAAGGAAAAATTGAAATCGCATCATATGACCCCTTTAACATACATATGTTCAGTTTTAGAATCAGTGTTTTTGTATAGTATAAGTTTAATAGTAACAAATGTTTTTGTGCTAGATTACCTGGTATAACTTGTGAGGTAGAGATCTGCCAGAATCCTTGTGTTAACGCTTCAGCTGCTGCTCTCTCACTGTCATAAACACCATTTGCGTTCTGAAATGCTGCAGGCTGCAGGAGTCCTGACAGATGTCCCGGGTTCTCCACCCCATTACCATCCTAAGGTCAGAAGGAGAAAATTACATCAATGTATAACTTTGGGAATAAAACATCATCTGGCCTTCATCAAGCCCTTGAAGTAGGTAAAATTTAACCTCAAGTGACAAACAGAACATAAACAGATCCCACTGTCATTATGGAACAATTCGATTAATTCACACAGGGTTTTGTCTTGGCTTTTCTAATGCTCCCTTTTTCACTGTTGTACACTGACTGAAGATCATCGTTGTCTGACGTGACCTAATTTCAGGTCAGCTTTAGCTGGCAGACAGATGGTCTTGCATTTGTCTCGAGAATAAACTGGTGTGAAGACAAAGCCATAAACCAATTACAAATCAAGATTATAGTCCCTTCATCAGTATGGTTGATGGTTGGTTGTTGGAGATGTTTGTGGAGACAACATTTGGTGCATACTTTCAAAACCTACCATTTTTTCCTAACTCCTTTTCAATAGCATTATATTTGTTTGTTTAATTGTGCAGATCAACTGATGTAGCTTTTTTTCCTGAACATTACATATTCTTACCTTAATAAGTGACCTTGCTCGGAAGATTTGCAATTGTATTGAAAGTTTTACACTTATACATGATAGCCCTTACTACACATCTTAAAATAGCAATTGCCCTGTAACTCTCCCCAGACTTATGGACGGCCACAATCACATTTATGAGCTCTGTGATTGCCAGCACCTGGCTGCTAATTACATTCTTAAGCATATTTTAGACCGCTTTAGTCATCTGGCCTGAATTTTGTATTTAACTAAATATTAATGAATTTTAATTGCATTATTTATTACATTTAAATATAATATTTCAATATTTTCTAATAATAATTATTTATCAAATAAATCGATCATATAATTTATATGTACTATATTATATCATTATACAAATGTATGTCCTCATTTGTCACAAAAACGCACACACACACACACACACTGTGCTTTGCACTGCAAACAGATTTTACCTCAGAGGTAGATTTGACATCAAACAGGTGTAGCTGCATAGCCTGCAGTTTCTGTCTCTCTGCAGTCAACTAACAGTAACATTCACACAGTAAATATAATGCAAGGTCATAAACAGGCATCCATTTATAATCCAGTTCTCATTAAAACCTCCTGACTGCCACTCTGCATTTATGTATCATTAGCTCCTGTGATACATGATAAATTGGTTCTATATTTCCCACATAAGCTGGCCTAATATATAACTGTAGAGCAAAGCATTGTTTTTGAGCACTGGGGTTACATACCTGATTCTCCATGTATTGTACTTTGTCTTTCTGCATCCTCAGCTGGGCTATACTTCTGTCCCCAGGAGCATGGTCAGTAGAAAGGTGTCTAGATACATACATATGTCAGGTATTGTTAAAATTATTTAGTAAATTATATTGTTAATTCCATAACTGTCTCGCTTTAAGAAATGTCCATATTCTTTGAACACTTCTCTGCTCTTTGAGCACCCAGGCCATCTGCATTGTCCTTTAACACACAGAAAGCCACCTGGAACACTATATGCATGTCTAGAGATGATAATAAATGCTTCATTTAGCACAAAAACTGAGACCATATGGGCATTATTTATTTGTTTGTGTGTTTATTTTCTCAAACCAGATACTCACTTCCCAGTATGCTCTGTGCTGCCAGGTTGAGGGCTTGACATAGAGGCACTGAGTCTGCTTTCAGACTGGCTGTTGTAAAGTGGCACAGGGTCTGACAGGTCACTGCCAGGTTCTGTCTTACACACAGTGTCCACAACCCAGTCATGAACACCAAATGCTGTGGAGCATTATGAAAAGTTTCGTTTCAGATATAAAATATTTCATTTGTTTTGATAAATTCTACAGTACCAGTACCTTGTGGGAATGGCTGGTTGCCTTTGCGTAGTACTGATGGTCTGTCCTGTCGAAAATATTTGCTTGTATTTTCACTGGCACTCTGGATATAGACAACAGACAACTCAAAGTGATCATGCAAGTTTATTCTAATCTTTTTAACCCTTTGTTTTTTTAAGCAAGGTGTTGCTATGGAAGTGAAACCTTTTCTAATTAAACTGTACCTGCTGTTTTAGAGTGGAATTTTGAATGTGAGATGAGCCAGAACCTCTGAAATCACTGTCCAAGTCAACAGATACCTTTGAAATCACAATTGCAAAAGAAAATACATTTTAAGGTTTGTTTGTGTTACAGCACTCTTTCTTTCAGTATAATGTGCTACTTGAGCTGTGAATTGCTAAAGTCTTTGTTTTTTTTAGGTGATTTTAGGAATAACTCAAATGAACATTATTAATGTTCATTTAATGTATATTGTTTTGTGCAGTAATACAGAAATGGCAGTTTCTAGTCTGTTACCTTGCTAGCTATGGGTTTAGCTGAGATCAGAGATGAACTGATTCCTCTGGCCTTCATCTGTACACTGTAAAAGGTAGAGCTGTCTTCCTCTTGGTACTGATTTTGGTGACTACTCCGGTTATCTCCACCTCTGTCTGTTCCAGCACCATTTTGAAACATTCCTATATAGAAATATGAAGTCATAAAAGAGCTTACAGTTCATTAACCTTAACATACTACTGCGTACTGAGAGTGAAATGAATCAGCCCTAGCGCAAACTATTTCCTGTGTAAATACACTCACCCTTTGCTTAGTTTCCAAATATAGTGTAACTATACATATTTGAATAAAACTGGTAAATGTAATTGAAGTTTTTTTTCCATCTCGTTTCACTGCACGGGTATTTTCTGAACACAAACCATTCTCCACCTTGAGCAGGGACCAAGAGGTCAGGAAAAGTGAGCCCTTCATATTAAGAAAAAAAAAACTAAATTTCATTTTTTACCCATTCTGTGAAGCAAACAATTTTTTCAACTAAAACAAATAATCTTTATTTTTACTCTTTATTAATGCATTTGACATTACATATTTTACAATATGACTTCACCACAAAATATTTACATGAAAAAAAATGTGTGTTTGTGAAATTGGAGATGAGAGTGTTACAATATAAACAAAAAAACAATAAGATGGACAAATCTACTAAAAAAGAGTTGAAGTAATTTGTTCATTGTAGATACAAAATAGTACTGAATGAGTTGAATTGGTGTAACTCTCACACATTTTTATCTTATAAATTCATCAACCTGAAATGTGTGGACATTAATCTTATTAATAATCATATTTTTCCTCTGTAAAAAGAATTGCTCAGTCCATCTTAGAAACTCAGATCAAGTCAATTGCTACAGGTGAAGTACATGCTCAAATATTTATAGCGATTAAATAATTACATGATTGCTATTAAATCTGAAAGGACACTCCATAGTATATTTTTATATTTTCATATTTCCTCCACTCTATAGTACTTTGACAGGTTTAGATATAAAGCAATAACTTCTGTTTGATGTTTAATAGTGTAAAAATGTGGAATCATCAGTGTATTCTGATTCTTAAAACCGAAGATGGACTTAAAGCAAAGATCTTGCACATACAACTTCTGAGACAGGAAAAAAAAAACTTCATCTTTGGATTTTAGAGCCCCATTGTCATTGCGGTTCTCTGAACTTCTTTAAGAAGTCATGTGTTGCTTATTTCTCTGACATTTGACATTAACCACATCCAGTGTATGATAAATGTCAACATTTTTCACCTGGGGGGGTTTTCAAACAAGCAACTTAGCATGATGAGAAGGAGAAGAGCCTTATTTTGCAGCTGCTGAATTGTAACTAAGGTTTTCAAATATGCTATAAGCATTTTTTTTTCTTGAAAACTATAAAATGCACATGTTTGCAGTACGTTTTTAAAAGTAGCGTGAGCAAGTCATTTAATGACCTTTTTCTGCACTTTATACACTTCTCTGTATCATTAATCATTGAGACTATTTATCAGAGGTTTAGATCTGCAATATGCAAGAGTGTAACTTTCCAGTAATTTGCAGGATTCATTTTCATTGTTGTTGTTGCCCTAATGCCTAGTGAGAATTTTAATTTGTTCCTCTTAGAGTTCAACCTGAGGATGATATTTATAAGACTGGGTTAATTTAAGGCAATGAAACTCATTATTCATCTCTCAGTCTGAATACAGTCTTCTCTCAGTTCCAATCACTGAGAAAAATCCCTCAAAATATGAGAATAGTCTGGACTGACAGCCAGTTTCATTTTGCAATGATGACACTACAGCATTCAGTAAAATCAGTTTTAGTTTCCGTGTTCTGTGGAATTCATAGTCACAATGATAATCATTAGATATAAGCTGTGAGACAACTAAATGCAGCGAACGCCCATCAAATATTTTCAATTTGCACTAATGCGGAATTAAACCTGAAACCTGTAATTAATTTTTTTTTAAAAATACAGATATGGAACAGAAAGACAATTCTGGCCTAAATTCTCTCCCACAAACATAGAACATTTCATTCTGACTCACTTTTTTCCATTGTACCCACTCATTTGTGTTAACACACAATATGATATGAATCAAAGACCAGGATATCTGAGACATGTACTGTACTGTACTGTAAACTGAAGAGTTAAATGATAGTGTTTATAAGTTGGACACTCTGCTCCACCCAGTTCCACCATCGTGGCTTTTTATTGTTGGAGGTCAGGATTAATTAACTAACATGGCATCTACTGCATTATCTGTGGGAATTGCTGAAGATATGCAAGTTCAAACAAAAATTACATTAAAAAGTGTTATTCTTGGGTATTCTCTGGTATTGTACAGTAAGTACCAAGGTAAGTGCCTAAAAGATTTCCATGCTTGTGAAAATGACTAGCCAGCATCCTGTGAATGCATATATAGCGATTTATCTTTTTTTATTGTTATTATTATTTACTTAGACAAAAAGAATAAGTATCTGCCATTTATTGGTTATCAAACATAACATGAAAATAATTATGCTGGCCTATTGTATCATTCAGAATAGTAATATCAATGCATCTAGAATTTTATCTAGTTTTTCTTTTACATTTTTGATCAAACTGTCCAACATAAACTTATCATGCCAACTCATAACTAAATAACTAATGCTGTCATTCTTAAAAAATAACGGTTCAAACCAAGAAAGATTTCAAAGTAGAACTTTTTCAATTTCCTCTAAGAACTAATCTCTAATTTCAGGCTTCAAAGAACTATATACCTAACTTCAAGAATCCACCGCTGCCAAAATTGGTTCTTGTTAAAAAGTGGATTGTTTGCTGAAACTAACATGCCACAAAGAACCACTGAAGAACTGTTACTTTTAAGTGTGACTGTCACAAAAACGTAATTTCTTGGTTAAAATATCTGAATAAAGAGGTGACCTTTTAAAAGACATCAAAAACTCATTTTGTGTCAACCAAGTTATTTTTGAAATTTTTGCACCTACTCATTTTCTCCCCATGTACAGCTCTCATATACACAAGAAGTGTATTTTTAGAGTTTTATAATTTACCCTTTACATCTGGTGTCTGGGTGATCCTTTTTTAGGTTGGAAAATTGATTTCATAGATATTAGTTTAACTAACACATGATGAAATTGCTATCATAACTGCAGGATCTCTGTAGAAGATGAAGGTTGCTTTACCTCCCACACCGTAACTCTATGTGTGCTTTAGCTTAATCCTTCTCCTCAGCAAAGGCCTTTGTAAGTGCCTCTGCACAGGAAAGAAAAATCAAAGACTGAGTTGTCTATAAGACACACAGACCTCGTTTGCGTCTGCACTTTAGGAAAGCACAATGTTTGGTTGCTTGTCATTTTCCTATGCTGAGCTGTGTTAGTTTGTGAGGTTAAAAAAAACAACCTACAAAGTAAAGAAGTGCTGTGAGTAAATAGTATGTAAATTTCCACATCATCTGGAATTCCAGTGCCATTTTACGTGTTAAATGAATCACAATTAATTCAGTGGTTGATTTGAGAAATGTGATCGTTTTAACCAATCTAGCCTTGAAACATCCAATGATTAAAACTCTTGTCTGTCGAAACTAAAGAATATTTAGAGTATCAAAAATTGACCAAAAATTACGTACATTTGATGATGCAGTGCTGTTCATAATCTAAAAATGTATAAAAACTTAATTGTCTTATTTACACATACGGCTGTCACACTGGCAAAAAATACAAAATAAATAAAATAAAAAAAATTATATTTTTTGTTCATTTAAAGGGTAAGCTTTTTCTTTTAAAAAATGCATATTTATTTCTGAAAACAAATACCTAATTTATACAACCAGGTTTAAAGAGGGAAAGTAAAAAAACTCACCTGTTGTGCAAGTGTCAGATTGATGCAAGTGAAAGACCAATTATTAGGTCGAATGCTCTGGAAAATGTTCGGGTCACCCCTTTTATAATGTTTAGCATGACATTTAGTGGAAATTCAGCAAGACAGACGGTTTCCCCACTGGGTGTTGGTGTGTGTGCGTGTGTGTGTGTATTCATGTGTACATTTACCAGTGTGTAGTAACTGCTAGACTGTCTCCACATCTTCTTCAGAAATTATGTGGCATTTTGTTGTTTCTGTTTCCTATAGGAACTGTACTTTGCAGCAAAATACAATTTTTTCCTGAGTGATTAAGGGTTTCTTCTACACATAAATATTTTATAGATATTTGGCTTTTCTATTACTAGGGGTCTCATACTGTATGTGTATTGCTGACTGAATTTGCCAAACAATATTTTGTGTTTCCTATTATGTGTTTCCTAAATAAATTATTTCTCTGGTGTAGAGGAGCCAAATTCATCTTAAATATTTCTTGTTCTGTTTTACCACGAGACAGCATTGAGATTCTGCACATTTTCTTTGACAGATATTTCTATTTTACCTCATTCATTCTGTTTCATTTCAAAACATCTTACTTATCGTAAGAGATAAAACTTATTTTCATCAATTAGATATTTCATGTCAGATTTCATGACTGAGATTAAATGGAAAAAATAATAATTCTGCCTTAAATAAATAAATGTATAACTTTCAAATCAAAATCTGGTGAAGTCCATTCCGGAAGACCGGAAAATGAGATTGCAAAGAAAATAACCTATTACGTGTTCGGAAACTCCGTTTACAGGGTTTGTGACGTTGTATTCAGGTTCTGGGGGGAGACTGAACATACGTACAGGGTACATAGCATGTGTGTCGATTAGTTTAACGCAGGAAAAAACATCCTCATCCTGTGGTTGAAAAAGGTTATTTGAGTGTTTTTGAACAAACTGTTCTTCAATAATGACACTCCCAAGCATATATACTGTATGTAGACTTGCAATACTTTTTCAGTCTTTTCTGATACATGTACGTGACTATAAACAACTTAAAAACATTTCTGAATATGAAAACAGAGTAGATTTGAACATGTATCTTAACAACAGGCAGATCAATAAAAAAAATAAAAAAAAGATTCTTCAATGTTAAAAACCAAATGATGTTTGGGGTCATATTTATTAAGTATGATCCCAATATGTACAAATAAAATTAAACACCATGTGATAAGACATTTAGAGACAAAAAAAATTAACCACTTCCAGGTTGAACGTTTTGTTTTATTATTTGTCTCTATACATAGTTCATAACATCATAGTGTTTTGTACAATATCATATTCCACTTTGTTCCTGCAAGTAATTTTTGAACCAAGTCTGCACAATGATTTTTCCATTTCAATCATAGGCCTTGTATTTGCTGGGAAATATGGGGATGTATTCAAATCATAATTATTTCATATCCTCATTCAACAACAATACCTGTCAGGAGTGTGGAGAGTTGTAAGAAAACCAATCCCCATTGATGACTTTTTATATTTTCTTGATTTTTCAGCATGCCTAGACAGTAAGGAAAAAGACTGAGATGTTTCAGAGGTAAGAGTTGTCTTGACTATTTTATGCAGGCAGCAGACCTGTACCATGGATTTATTTTCAAATGTATTAGATATAGGTAACACCTTGTAAAACATTTCAGCTGTTAACGAGGCAAACTGTATAATGTTGGTTCAATTTTTACTGTTATTCTTTTCTGACATATTGTTACAAATGACCCCAACTAGTTTAACAACTTACTTTGATATTAGAGTAGGTTGCAACAATGGATCTCTTTGTATTCAAAATCAGCTCTTTTAATCTGTTTTATAATCATCATAATCGTGACTAACATTTGTAGCAGACAGATATAGATATCTTGTGTTAAAATATGAGCGGTCAAGAACCAAAACTCTCATGGTATTCATGGTTAAAGAAAAATGGTTACTATCATTCCCGGTCTCCCTCTATAGCAAGCCAGACCACTGATGCTGCACCTGTTGCACATATTGATTTCACTATATTAAGCAAGACTGACTGCTCCATCTAGGGGTTAAAATAGCTTACCAATCAATATTAATGGTCCACAATTGAATATGCTTCTCACTACTGGATCTCATTAGCTTCATGATCATTCTGCTATACATAATGTTAATTCGAAACAGCTGCATTTTGCACCACTGACTGGATTATGCTAACAGAAATTAATTTAACACACATTTTGTCTGCATAATCTGTGCAATCAGTGTCAGGTAGGCAAGCTGTTCGTATAGGGATTTTTGTGTTTTATTTATTTATGAATGAAAGAATTAGGCCTCATAATTGCTTTTCTTGGTTCACTTTTGTTATTTCATAATTCTTCACATATCATAACAAAAAACTGTACTGATTCTGCTGTTAGTAAATGGTGTGCACCTTAGAGCTCCAATCAAACTTTGTTTAAAAGGGGTCATATGATGCTTTTTTAAAGATCATTATTTTGTGTATTTGGTGTAACAGAATATGTTGACATGCTTTAATGTTCAAAAAACACATTATTTTTCAATTCTTTCTTTGCGTGCACATTTGCGGCGGGATTATGCAAATATTTCCACATAGTGGGGTAGATATGTGGGGGCGTGTTAGAATGAGCCGTTTTAGGGGGGCGTGGCAGAGTCTTAACTTTGATAAAGAATATCTCTTTGGTTTTGAGACTTTAGTCTTTGCAACTTCAGGGATCTTATCTATGCACAATCAGCTTGTAACACTCCAAAGAGAAAGGAAAACTTGAAATCGCATCATATGACCCCTTTAAGAAAGTTACAGGGGTCTGTTACCCCAGGTGGCCTTAGGCCCATTTCACCCTATCATGGAGGAGAGTATGTGTGAGGGGCTGAATCTTCCGAAACTATTTAAAGCTGCATAACATACTGAACGGCCATAACCGGTTGTTTAAATATGAGTGAACTGTGAACAGTTTTTTTAAATAAAGAAATTGTATTAAAGAAAACTGAACCTTTCTGTTATTTTGTTAGTTTACATATTCTTGACAGTGACAAAGCATTTGCTGTATTCTTGACTGAAAATGTCTTTAAATGACCTGAAAAGAATAGAATGTTCACAATAGGGTTCAGATTATAATAATCTCATCTTCATTATTATGAATGATTTATTATTAGGCTACTACTACTAATAATTTTTATTATTATATTAAACAATACACACACACACACATACATACATATATATTATTATTATTATTATTATATATTATTATAGCCTACTTATTATAATAACCAATAGATTGACCAGTTCTATTATAGTAGCAATATTTGCTTGCCTTTTTTGTTGTTGAAATATTGTCTTTTTTATTTCCTTTGCAATTAGTATTAAGTGATTTTTTTTTCTCACAACAAACGGCGACCAAACAAATAAGCGTGTCTTTAAACTTTAAAATAGCAGTGGGGGGCGTGTGCGCTTCGGAGCGGCCAACAAGAGATCAGGGGGAGGGATATACCAACAGAGCCCATCTTCCTCCTGACCTCTGGAAAACGATGGCCGTGCCGCTTCCTTCTAAATTTAGACACTTATTCGTGTCTGTGCACTATGCGCTCCAAACTGCAGTTCTCGTTGATGTCAATAGTTTAGGCCTAGTTCGGTCGAAACGAGGTGACAGACCCTCGCGGGTCTCCGTTGGCACTATGAGAGGCAGCTCGATCTGACTGACGCGCACCATCTCAGTACGGCACCTTTCATGTTTACGAGACTCAGAAACAGACGTAATGGCGCAGGGGAATAATAGTAATTTCTTAACTATCCCCTCACAAGAGGAGCTTTTCAAGACGGTGAGGGACGAGCGTTTCGAAAACAACAGTAATGATGAAGATGAGGAAGAAACGGAGGAAGATGTCAGGCTAATACCGAGGTCTTCTCCTGTTCCCAGAAAGCGAGGCTCTTCGATTGCGGATGAAACCGCCGAGTACATGCGAATTCGCCTGGAGTTACCGAACAGAAGAGTGTCGTTTGCAGACAGTACGGGAGCCGAGCTGGTCGATGTCATAATGTTTGTCCCGTTTGAGTCAGATGACGAGGACGATTCAAGATGGGTGGAAGAGGAGGCGCGGTACCGAAAAGCCTACCGTGAGCCCACTTACCGCGTGTGGCCGGAGTTCCAGCCGCTCACCGGAACGGAGCTCCTGCTCGCTGTCCACGTCAACAAGCTGGAAGTGGAGAGCGTGACATCTGTGCCAGACGAGCCTCTGTCATTCGAGGTGCTTATTCGTGTGCTCAACATTTCTTTTCACAAATCAGTCTATGCCCGGTCCACGATGGATGGTTGGATCAATCACTTTGATTACCCAGCCGAGTACGTCCAGGGCTCCAACGAAGGCGAAACGGACAACTTCTCCGTGAAACTGGCCTAAGCTTCACCGTACCTGTTCAACGGAGCGCGGATTGATTTTGTTGTGCGCTATGAGACGCCAGATGGAGAGTTTTGGGCAAACAACTCTGGCAGGAATTACTCGGTAAATCTCTTACAGACATATGAGGACGACACAGTCCAGACCACCACAGCGGACACAACAGAGCTGAGAGGAATCCTAAAACCTCCCAGATACCGGTAAGTGGGCGTCAGTGAACTTATAACACGAGTCAAACTCTGTTCTTAAATCTGTTTAGCCAGCAGTCTGATTTAGCCGTTTAGCACGGGTTAATTAAGCAATGTCGTACTAAAACGTTAGTTTAAAAAAAAATATAAACAGGATTAAATCTGCCGTGTGTGATATTTCTTGTTTGCTTTTATTCTCTGTAAACTTTCGGGTAATTTACCGTTCAAACAAAAATGTCGAGTTAATTCAGTTAGGCTTTTGCCCGCGAACGGAAATATAATTCAAGATTTTAGCTTTGGATGTCGCCAAGCAACGTACAGACTAAAAGCTGGTCTGGAATACCATATATGATTGGAAGCGGAGAGGCCGACAAACAGCGTTCTGTGAACACTGCGCTAGAATTCCGCTTCGTCATATCTCACACCACTAACTACCAAGTATAATCAATCTCACACACACAAACAAGCACAACGAAATCACTTCACACTATTAAGCAGCTGTGTTATGAACATGCAAAACTGTATCGCACGCGTGCTACAGTGGTAAATTTATTCATCGCACAGACCCGTTTTTTCGTAGCACGTGCGACATATATGTCGCACTGTACAGCCCTGAACAGTATGTTGCTGTCAAACATACGATTTATTACATTGCGGAGTTCCTTTGTACAACAAATATTGAGTTCCTATATTAAGATTAAAATGTGTCTTATGCCCCTTAATGAGTATTTTTCATTGTAAGTTTATTTCCAGTAGCCAGTTCCAGTTTTGTGCAATTTCATTTTTGCATAGATTTGACAGTTCAGCTGTATCATTTGTAATTATAAAATAATATAGAGACTATGTAGAGGCCATAACAAAAAAAAAAAGAAGAAAAAAAGAAAGTTTTAATCAAATGTGCCACCCAGAATTACATTTAATTTATATATAATTATTATATTACTATATAAAATATTAAAGCCAGATGAATTTATATTTCTAGATTTCCGATGATAATTTAATGCTTCTACATTAATTGTTTTATATTTAAAACAAAAATTAGTAACATTTGTGACTGAAATTGAAAGCTGATTTTATGCAGCTTCTGTGCAATGCACCTTTTTCATGTTATATTTAGATGCAGCCTTTGCAGTGTAGGAATTCATAAAATACCAATTGTCACATGTTTAAATTTCCTGCTGCTAAAGAAGAAGAACCGTGGAATAACAAAGCTGTATTGAATTCTACAGGGCCTGTTATACAGCATCTGTATTGTGTGAGTTTTGGGGTTGCACGGTCTCCCCACCCCCTCACTCCCTTTTGAGAATGGCAGCCATTCAAGGGTGTGTGAGGAGGATGAAAATAGGACAAGGCAGGTATCACTTTCAGCTCTGGTGTATCGACCGAGACCTTAACTCTGACCTTTTCTATAGGGGTTGCACAGTAAGAGACACAACAGACCAACAAAAGCAGACACAAACCTACGCCGATTCCGTCTGTACACCTGGAGACATTCTTTTACCCATTATTTCCACTTTATCACCAACGACAATGAAAGTTTGAGAAAAAAAACAACAACAACAACGAATGAGTGGCGTAGAGATGAAAATGTTTTTTTTATGTACAAACATTGTAATGGAACTCCTGTATTATCAGGAGATAAAAATCAGAAGACTGGTTTCGACCTACAGTTTAGACTCGCAAGTCTTGCTTGCAACCTTTCCTCAAATGTCAAGTGTTGTTTCTATTACAGTGCTCAAACATGCTATGAAAAGAAGGTCATAGAACAGGATGTCAATCGAACTGCTTCGCACACAAAATACTCTGAATATGTAGCGACTTAATGAAATGGAAAAGGTTGTACAAAGAGTCACATGACCAGAGCATATGTCCATAATGCTCATCAGAACCTTTCGTGATGTACATGGGTCAAAAAGGGTTTAAGCATAAAAACAATAAGTGTAATACTGCTTTAAATTGTTGTTGTTTTTCCCCAAAAATTGTAAAAAGTTTTGTTTAATTTAATTGCAATTTTGTTTTTGTTTTTCTGAGCACAAAATAAATATCATACATTTTTCCCTGATTTACAGAAGACACCCACTAAATTGTCATTCAGTGTAACATTCTTGTCAGGCATATTTACAACAAAAATCAATTTATGACATTAAAAGACTAATTACTTTCACCCCAAATACTAATTAGTTGTAATTTTACTTTTTTTTTAAATTGCCATTATCCTAGGTTTTGCCCATTTGTCAGTAAGAATTTTTACTCATTTAAAACACAATAAAATGTAATATGCTCCCTTATTCTTTTATATATTTTAATATGTACAAGTCAGAATAAGCATGTTGTTTGAATTTTTACATAAATATTGTGTTACACTGAATGACAATGTAACATTATTTCAACCAAATTTTAACATTTTATTCTCCAAAATCTTATTTGAAACCTTAAAAATAGACACTTTACTTACATTTAATGTGCTTTCTATGGACATATAATCACTTTTGTAAAATTCTTTTGATTCGGACATCTTAACGTCTTTGACCCACACATACAGTACGCAAGAACGCATGTGTAATATTTGGACAGGTCCTTATTCCATCATAGGATTTATCATGCGGTTTAAGGGTGAGTGTGGGCTAAGACCATAGACTGTAAAAAAAAACATGGACGTAGTGTCCGTGACGTCACCCGTAGGTTTCTAAAGAGCGTTTTTGAAGCTCAAAGTGGGCAGATCCGGCCGTCGCCATCTTGGCAGCACGTCACCGCGCGTCATTCCCGGATAATCTTTTTTCTGCTGTAAAGTTGGGCATTTTAACATGGGGAGTCTATGGGATTGACTCCCTTTTGCAGCCAGCCTCTAGTGGCCAGTTGACGAATTACAGTTTAAGTCACTTCCGTGTTGGTTTCACGAGAGCGACTGGAAGGTTGCCGCTCGACTAAGACAGTCTTCACCCACACTCTGAAAAAAACATCTCAAGCTCTGGAGGCTGTCAGATATTACCATAGTAACAAATGTCACAGAGGTCACAGTTATTTTCCATTTAGTGAATCAGTCGTGTCTACATCTGGCCGATGGACTATACTTGTCTTGTACTTTTAAAGGAATGGTTCACCCAAAAATGAAAATTCTGTCATTATTTTCTCACCTTCATATCGCTCCAAACCTTTGACTTTTTTTTTTCTCCAGAACAAAAAAGAAGATATATTGAAGAATGTTGATAACCAAACAGTTTTGATTTACTTCCATTGTATGGAAGTTGCATTTCTTAAAATCTTTTGTGTTCCACCAAAGAAAGTCATTCAGGTTTGGAATGACATGAGGGTGAACATTCTTGGTGAACTATCCCTTTTATATATAAAATTCTGTCATGAGCAACTAAAAGTCTTGCATTAATGATAATTAGTTATATGGATTATATCTATACTTTTAATTTATTAATGCTCTTTATTGATGTGTGCTGCTGAAGAATGATTGTTTTGGTGTGTATGTGTGTGTCTTCTTTTTAGAGCTGACAATGGTTTTGATGACTTTAATGACAAAGGAGATGGTATGTGTTAAGCATAATAATGTACAGCTTATTTATCTCAGGTTAAATATAACAAACATTTGCCAGGTTAGTAGTTTTATGTTTCAGATTTCTCTGTGATTTTTTTTCAGCAGATCTGAGCAGCGCTAAGTGTGAAGCAGCAGAGAATCAAGCGTCTTTTGCACAGCCAGTTATAGTCCAGCCAGAGATCAACATCGAGGTGAGGTTTGCTTTGTAATCACCATTTCTAAGTGCAGCTGGGATAACAGGTGGAAAAAGATACAGCGTATCATGAACATACAATAAAAAAGTTTAAACAAAAGTTTGTTTTCCCCTCCTTACTCTAACCTTTACCAGATTTCCATGACGGTTTTCATGTGTGGTATAACAGCAACTTTTTTTTCTCCGTTTTTTGCGTGTCAGACACTCTGTCTAGACACTCTAACAGTGAATCTTTGTATGTTGTTACTGTCTGTGTCAGTATACAGTTATTTATCGATCATGATGTCTTCTGATTGCTCTCTTTAATCAGTGATTCCATTTGTTTCAGTTTATTCTTATACCCAGGATTCCTGTCTGTCACTATTGCAACAAATGCAGAGCTGTAGTGTTTTTCAGAGCAACCCAGGCTATACCCAGATAACTCAAGAATATAAAATTAAACTTTTAACTCATTGATTGCCTATTGTCTATTTAATACTAGCTAAAAAAAATCTTATAATGTGGATTTTCATCATACCTGCACTCACACAATACATTACAATACACAATTCGCTTGTTAAAATTTCCACCAACATCTCACTGTCCAGATAACCACTTGCTTGTGGCTATTTGCAGTGTGTCGATTTGCAGCTGTTTAAAGTAACTGAACCTGGTATTTACAACAATAGCATCACCATCTCAGTATGTGGTCAACCCTTTACAATAAATTGATAAGACACATTATTATTTCTTTACCAGAGGCTTTAGAGGGATAGACCACACAAAAATGAAAATTCTGTTATCATTTGATGTTGATCCAAGCCTGTATGACTTTCTTTCTTTTGTGGAACACAGAAGAAGATATTCTGAAGAATGCTGGTAACCAAACGGTTTGGTAAACAAGCAATACCACTGAATTCAATTCAATGGATAAAAACATTTTGAGACAGAAAGAAAGTCGTACAAGTTTGGACCGACATGAAGGTGAGTAAATGAAGACAGTATTTTCATTTTTGGGTGAACCATTCCTTTAATTGTGAACTGTTAAGCCTTTTATAAACTATATAAAAATATGATTTTAAAATATATTTAAAGATGGTTTTTTTTAATTAGTTATCATGCTGACAGCATGTCACATCTTTTTGTAAATTATCCAAACAATGTAAATGTGTCAAATAAAACACTGTATTCAATAACCAACAATGATTTAAACTATGCTTCATTACATATAATATTAAAAACAAGATGTGTATTTGTTGATATTGTTATTCTTTTCATCTGTCTACCTGAACAGCTCATTGAAGCTTCAGCATCAACTTAGGTAATGTGCATGTGACTTGCTAACTTATCGCTAACTTGTTCATTTCACCAATTCACCGTGTTGCATGTAACATGCATCCTGTATCATGACCCATAATATTATGATATGTAGATCAACCATGCAGAAGCTATTTGTGTTCATGCTCATTAGTTTTAAGAAAACAATAAGCTTAGTTTATACTATATATTATGTTTATAAAAGCATAAAATGCTAGTTTAGTTAGTTCAGTTTAGTTTAGTCTTATTTTATGTTGGCAGTTCCTGATATTTCCAACTTGAGACAAAAACTGCTGTGAATTTTTAACAAGATGTTGGGCTGTTTTATTGGGATCCTTAGGCTATTTTCCTATAGACTGTTTTGGCAAGGAGATATTGGGAGGGGAAAAAAACCTGTATAACTGAAGTATACTCACAAAACTGTCAAAGTTGTATAAAAAAAACAGTTAAAAATAAACAGTAGAAATTGTATTTCTGTGTATGTTCTATGTAAATATTGTCAGTATCATAGCATGTTTACCCTGAGATTTTCCCTGCACAACTTTAAACAGACAAAATTCATAGTTAAACAGCATTCCCCTAACATTTTCAGCATCACTTTTCTCATCGTTGTTTTTAATTCTTGTGAAATTTTGTCACAAGATTTTGTCACATCACATTTAGAATTATCTTTCTATCTCCCCTCATTGGCACAGGCTTCTGGGAAAAGAGTCAGAAGGAACTGGCACAAACTTCATGCTAACACAAATCACTTTCCTGCACTTTATAATGCACTTGGCATTATATGTAGTTTTATTTATTTTATTTATAGGTAGTAACTATTTATTTATTCACTTATTTAAGTGAATAAATAAATAGTTTGGGGGAAACAGCCCTGAATAGTAGTCAGATCTGTGAAATCATAAGCACTTGCACTCATTTATTGATCTGTTAAGTCCAGTGCTCAAATACAGTCACTGAAAGACCACTTTGACAGTATGAATATATCTAGATTTAGACTATGTACACATAAAACACAGAATGATAACATTTTGCATGCGTAAAAAGCAACATTTCATGTAGGTCCACTTCCTTCAGTCTTAACAAACTTCCCTGTGCATTAATAGTACAATTTTGCCCCCTGGTGGAAAGTTCAAGTCAAGAAAAAAAAATAGAAGGAAGGACATGTAGATTTTTCATATTTTGCACTGGCCTAAAGATATTTGCTAAAAACAGGGCGAGAAAAACTACAAAAGTTTGTTGGAAAAAGTAAAAAGATATTCCTATTCAAACAAATAAAGCATATGAACATTTCAATGTTTAAAAAAAATTACAATAATTTTTCTTTAAGGATTCCATGGTGTCAAAGCTTTTGATATTAATTAAAATATGGGTTTATAACGACTGACAATCTTTTTTTTTTTTTACTTTACAAACATCATTGCTAATGCACAAATTGAACAAATTAATGCCACATTTTATACACTATTTAAGCACGGAAAACAACAATACTAAGGAAAAAGTTGAGGTTGATCTTGGGGAAATAAAAAAAATTCTTAAATATATATTTAAAATTCAATGAAGTATTTCAAAACCCCTCCCAAAGCAGTTTCTAAACCGCAGATACTTTCAACATTCACTGGAACACATGATCTTCTTTCAGTCCCTATTTTGCATCAACTTCCTCTAAAAGAGGTACTTTCGACATGTTGGTACCTCGCATTTGCACTCTACGTGCATGCGCTTCTTAGGGGAGCCTGGGAGTCCCGTCAGACTGAAATTAGAATCCATCTTCGTGCTCTCGGCATCAACTGGATCAACTATGGAAAAAAATGAAAAATACTGTATTTATATATACTGTATTTCCCCATTTAAAAGTACATGTAAATTTAGTGAATGACACACTACTGTTCAATAGAACATTAAAGAATAAATACAACAAGAAATGTAAAAACAGTAATATTGTAAAACTTTATTACAATTTAAACTCTTCTATTTTAATACATTTTAAAATGTAATTTGTTTCTTAGATGGCAAAGCTGAATTTCAAGTCACTGCTCCAGTCTTCAGTGTCACATGATCCTGCAGAAATCATTCTAATATGCTGATTTGGTGCTCAAGTAACAGAAGAATATGAATAGAAAGTTCAAAAGAACAGGAGTTCTTTGAAATAAAAATATTTTGTTACATTACAAACCCAGTACTTTAGTACTGTACATTTAGTTCTGGAACTAAAGCGGTGCGAAAGGCCCTCATTTTTTTTTTATATCAAGCACCTATCAAATCCACACCCCAGCATATGTACCGTCATGAAAGACCTTTTACAGAACTTAACATTTCACTTACACTTAACATTTACATAAAAAATGTCAGAGTAATAATGATGTTTTGAATGTGTAGGTTTCATAAATTTAGACCGTTTTGAGTCTTGTTCAAAGGAATTTAATGAAATCCATTGAAGTCAATACTGGTAATATTCAAATACAATTTCTCAAATATTGATAAAAATATATTTTCTTGCATCAAACTGGTTTTTGCTGTAGTTCTTGTACAAGATTTAAATTTGAAAGAATTTCTCAATTTTTAATTAATAAAAAGTGGTTAAATGTTGTAATAACACGGTAAAACCTGTTAACGTTAAAAATGTGTACATTCACTAAATAGACTGAATGAAATGACTCATTAATAAATAAACTCAAGTCAAAATTATTTTGTAAATCACTTTTTATTGAAAATCCCTTTTCATCTTTTACCTAGAGGAATGCAGCTGCTCAAAACTTCAATATTTTTTGACAGTATTTCATGAACATTTTAAACCTTGTACATGCGCAAATCTGCAAAAAATAAAAATAAAATAAATACAAAATAGGACTTTCTATTTACTTTTAAACTGTAAACGCTTTTAACTAAGCTGTTTTTCCAATTTTTCAAGTTCTACTTTTTTCTCCTTAGCTCCATGTCTCAGAGCTGATTCAACAAGAGCCTGCATGTCACTCTCCATGCAGTCAACATCTTGCTAAATTGTACATCTGTTGAAACTGAGCCAAGAATCATTAAATTTTTACTTTCCTGGCATTGGGCCTGTTAATTAACACTGCTTCTCCATAGGTTCATGAAGGGCTGTGCTAGAGGGCTGCATTGAGATTGGGATCCCGCGGGACGCAAATCTTTTTTTTACGGCGGTTTTACCTTTACTGCGGGTGGGAATGGGCGGTCAAAAAAAATGTAGCGCAGGTCCCGCAGTCTGGCCCATATAAGAATGATGGAGATGCATGTGTTTACGCCGTGTTTGGTTGTACACAGATTACATTACTTGCCCAGCGCCCCTACTGTCGTTTTGCTTTTTTTATAGAAATTGAAATAATTTAGTTTAGCTGGAAAACGTACGCTACACTAAACTGAAAGCGTCTGCTCTGCACCAGAGTTGCCAGGTCTGCGTGACAAAACTAAACCATGCCAGTTGAAAACAGCCCAAAACAGCGCAATGACCATATCCCAAATATCAAAACTCAAAATGTCATTTCCATACCTAAAATACATATTTTAAGTTCACTGTTATGTACACTGATTAAAAAAAAACCCGGCTCAGAGGCTTCCTACCAGTGGCCCTCCATCACAAAATTTTTCCCACCGTGTCCGATACTAAAATCAGTGCGACACACTTTGCAAAAAGCGTGGGAATTGTCTATGCTGCTTCGCAATGATCCGTCCAGCTGTTGTTGAATTTGCAGCTATATTTTGTTTTGTTTTTTTCGCCGTAGCACCACCTGAGCTTTCTAATGCCATTTCTACCAGTGATGCTTCATTCAGCTTCCCCAGTCTATATGCACAGATATCAACAGCGCAACTGAGTTGTAGGTTGCCAGGTTGAGGTCATAAATGGGTTTATAGCTGAGCTAAACTTATACTTAGCCTCCAACTCACACACTGGCGAGTAAAATCTGAGAATTTATTAGCAATTGGCTAATATTAGACATAATTTAGTCGCCAGAGTGAAGATTTAGTCGCATATACACGAGTGATTTACTCGCAATGTAGAGGGTTGGTTTCATACAATATCTGGCAACTGGACAACCTTGGAATTGATGGAATCAAATATTGATGTATTCATATATTACAATATTAGAATGTTTGCAGGAGCGGGCAGTAATGGTCAGAAATTCAGTGGAAGCGGGCTTAAGAAAACAGTCCCGTGCAGGGCTCTAGGCTGCACATCAACACACACGCTAGGTTTTTTTTTTTTCCACAACAAATATCTGATCTTGTAAGATGTGCTCCCTTTACACAGAGAGCGATTGATCGCGAAATCGAAAGTGAACAGCGAGCGTTCATTCAAATGCGATTTCAATACCCCGCATATTGATAGTGGCTCCCTGATGTGCGAAAATTATATACAATATTAGAATGTTTGCAGGAGCGGGCAGTAATGGTCAGAAATTCAGTGGAAGCGGACTTAAGAAAACAGTCCCGTGCAGGGCTCTAGGCTGCACATCAACACACACGCTAGGTTTTTTTTTTTTCCACGCTACCCCATCTCCACCCCAATCATTAGAGCTGTTTTCGTCTTTGACAGCACATATAGGACAATTTTTTAAATAGCACCATAAACTATAAACCATAAAATTTATTTCAAGCACTTTCAAGGACCCATGTTTGTTTTCAAGTACTTTCCAGACCTTGAATCCATGTCTGAAATTCAAGTACTTTCAAGAAGCGTGGGAACCCTGTACAAACTGTCTTTTCTGTCGCTTTTGATCAATTTAATGCATATGAATGGTAGTATATGAATCAATCGATCTAAATAATTAAATGGTAAAAGCAGTGTCACCAAGTTAATGATCCCAAATAACTAGACACTCTTTTTCTATACAGTCCCACACTTACTTTTCATTTTGTAGTCAAATGTGAGCTCCTCTCCTGCCTTTATCCCACATGTGGCAAAGAACGCTATCCGCGGCAGCCGCTCATCCAGGTTATCAATAAACACATTATATACCTGGAGGTTGGGGTCACACTGAGGAGACAAAAGAAAACATTTGTGATATTCAATTTACTGCCCTCAGATAAAAAGCTAGTTTAACTGCTATCAAGTCAGTTGTTTACAAGACAATGCAAGCTCAAGTCCAATCCACTCACACTGTGATTGACAAAGTGAGAGATGTTTCCATAGTGAGCAGCATCCACGGTGTACTCGTCGTCAACATAATCCAGGTCAAAAAGATAGGTGGCGCCTTCTTTATCGTATATGTGACCTCTGCAATCTGCTTCTTCTGTTGTAATGATCTAAAGCAAAAACAGATAAAAAGAGGGTTTAACAATCATGAAGCCAGACTCACTTCTGGGAAAGACAGAAAAACAGCTCATCAGCCGTCACAAGGAAACTGAAACGTTGATTGATAATGCCATTATCTACAAGTGAAGCAAAACATGTTTCCATGATAACACAAAAACCTTAAACCGACAGAATGGCAATATTCAACAGAAGGTGAAAAAAACAGTGCCACCAATACATATTGCAAAAACAAAACCATCTAATCCGTGCAGGAAGTAAATATATAGAGCAAGCCCTCCTGTGCTTCTCACCTCCCCGACGTACTCCATAACGAAAGTGTTCTTCCGAATGCGCTCCATGGTCTTTACCCCCCATCCCCTTCCATTGTCTGTCCTAAAAATGCAGAGGGAATACTGAATTCCCCTCTGCACCACTCTGTTGGGGCAGTCGATCCCGCAATGGCACCGCTTGTTGCATTCGTAAATGGGCAACCCAGGCCGGATGCGGACCTGGCCTAACTCATTGTAAGCAAACTTGTGCTGAGACGCTCCGGCACAGCATCCCTCCACAGGGTTGCCCAGGCAGTCTGTACATTCGCAGCCCACGGATACCTCATTCAGCATGATCCCATCACCGACTTTATAGTCATTTATGTAGGTTTGATGCTATTTCTAGCGAGAAATCAGTATTATAGTAATTAAATATTTGTTTAGTTATCACAAAAACTCATTCTATTTTGTTGTAGATCATTAAACCGTTATGCTGCCTCAGAAGCCTGTCCGAAATCAGTTTCATGAGGTGTCTACGTGCAAAAACGCTGCCTGCAAAGTCATTGCCTCATATGACAGCGAGGCAGCAAGTCAGCTGCCTAAGATTTCGGATGCAGCCACAATGATGTCCAATTGTCCGTTTTGACGAGTATTCACGTAAACAGTTAATTACGTCTGAAGTAAACGTAAACAGCAGGGAGAACGTGTATCAGTACATTGCATCCGGTTTACCCATTAGATTTTAGCCGACTAAATTTACTGTAGATTTAGTCGACTAAAACTAGACTAAAACTAAAAACAATTCAGATGACTAAAATATGACTAAAACTAAATGGCATTTTAGTCAAAAGACTATGGCTAAAACTAAATCAAAATTTGCTGTCAAAATTAACACTGGATGGTAGTGAGCTTAAACACATTTACACCTGCGGCCAGTGGCATAGACACAGCCACTATGTTAAGACTGTCTTAAGAGCTAGTCTGACCAAGTAACGGTTCGTCAAAGGGTCAATCAGTCTAATTTTTTGGGTTCAAATTAGATCAATCTCGAAGCGTTTGAGAGAGGCAGGGCATAGAGGACCTACAATAATGTACAGTATTTGAAAAATAATGTGTTTTTTGAACATTAAAGCATGTCAACATATTCTGTTACACCAAATACACAAAATAATGATCTTTAAAAAAGCATCATATGACCCCTTTAAGTAAATTTTTATGTACATTTCTCCTGATTCAGACAAGATTACTTTTTCGCTAAAGTAAGCAATATTTTGGATAGAGGACTAGAATTTTAGTAAAATGTAACAGTTTTAGTAAAAAAGTGTCTTAATGATGAATTTGTTAATTGCAAACACACAACTTTTCCCTCCACAAGGCGTTAATTGATGGACTGGAGTCTTGTTGTGGATTATTGTGGTGTTTTACCAGCTGTTTAAACTCATTATGACGGCACCCATTCACTGCAGAGGATCCATTGGTGAGCAAGTGACATAATGCTGCATTTCTCCACATCTGAGGGTGAGTGAATTGTAAATTGTCAGCAAATTTTCATTTTTGGATGAAAGATTCCTTTTGAAGAAAACAACTAGATGAAAACTAACTTGTAAGACTAGTCTAAGCAGTTTACGCAACTGGCCACCTGGATTCATTTTTGCTTTGATAAAACTCATCTTACCCATCATGTAGTAGAATTTACTTTGACATGAGTACATTTATGAGCCAGACTTTTAAGCCCACCTGTATTGTTTGTTTCTTCCCATCGGTGATAACTTTCTTTTTGTAGTCACAGAGATATTCCACCTCATAATCGCACAGGTTGTGCTTGTTGATGCCCAGCTCATCACACTTCACTCCCTGCTCTCGACAGATCACCTCCAGCTGGCCTTCAGTAGCGATGCATGCTACCCTACAAACCCGAGCTACAAAATACAATTAGGTGTTCATTGCAGGAAAAACACAGATAAAATGTGGGATGACAGACATGTGTGCAACTTTAGATGAAGAACTACACAGCACTTGAGCAAATAGTTGATGTCTTCATGCCTGTAAACCCGAGGTTTGCAGAGAATTTGAGAGCAATTATTCTTCTTAAGCTTTTTAACTCAGGGAATAAAACTAATAATTCAGCTTTTCCATCGGGACTAAATTACATTTTAAAATATACAAAAATACTTATTTTAAATTGTATTAATATTTCACAGTATTACTGGTTTTGCTGTATTTTTGATCAAATAAATGCAGCCTTGGTGAGCAAAATAAATTCCAAAAACATAAAAATAAAAAACAATTACAGAACTCAAACTTTATTACATTCAAGATTATTTTAAATTTGCATTGTCTCTGTCTAGGAACTCACCACTCGCTGCTTATTCTAACTGGCTGTATGGTTTAACTTCTGTTAAAAGCTGTTTTGGAATTATATTTACTATGGAAAGTGCTATTCAAATAACTGTAAATTAAAGCGACAATCCTATACTCTAATATAGGCTAAAAAATATGTGTTGCCAACTTGCAAATATTTTCCAGATACTATTTTTAAAATATTTTTTATGACCTAAGATTACAATGGCAAACAAAAGCCAATAATTTAATTTAGGAAATTAACAATTAGTTGATGTTATTTTATCAAACAATTTTCTGATCAAAGTGTAAATGAAAATGTATATGAAAATATGACATGAAAAAATATATATAACTGCTTTTATATTATAGAAAGGGGCTCCCTGACAAGGAAATTATCATAGTTGGGGGTATTTGGCCATAAAAACGACGCAACACAGAATAACACACACAAAATCATTAACATATTGTACGGATAACTTGACCATTTTGACAGAGTGAGATAAAAACAAAAACTCACATGCATCATCACTGACCTATGGGCCATTTAATAAACTGCCTGAAGACTAATCGTCATAAGCAAAACGAACAAGAGATTCAGTGAACCTAACTTATACAAAGTATTTAAACAACGACGTACGTATTAGATTAACACGGTGCGGGAGAATTTTAAGAATGTGCTTTTTGATAAAGTGTCCAGTTATCAAGCATGTTGAGTAACGTGAAATCATATTCCTCAAGAGGACGTAAAAGTTAGCTAAACACTGAAGATTACGCTAACTATTGAGCATGCACATTTTTGCACCTTATGCTACGTTGTACAACTTTACAAAGAAGAAGATGCAAGAGAAACAGATTAGTTACGGCATTCACAATGAGCTTGTTGAATGTGTTGCATGATCGCGCGGCAGCCTTAACATCGACCTAATGTGAATTTGTATCAACAACTTGCAGCAAAGATTCTTCCAAAACGGAGTGTTTGTTTCCGGGGGTTCTTTGAAAAGGTACCACTTAACTAACAACTCGTGTAGTACATAAGACATGTAACAGGTAAACCTTTGTTTCTGAACGTTTAATACGATATATTCTTACCTTTCAAATTTTCCGCCATCTTCCGACCGCCGCCAAAATTATAGGATGGAAGGGCCGCTCGATGATTGGACGCAGCGCAGTCTGAGTGACGGTTTGGGCAACCAATAGAAAAATAAAACTCGACGAACTGTTTATGGGAAGTTTGGACCAAGTGGGGTTCGTGTATGAAATCAGATTCGTGTCTTTATACGTGGACTTAACATATGGTACATGCAAGTTTGAGCTGTCTCAGTTATTTTAGCTTCTCATCTGCTCATTTATATCCTTTGTGATGGTTTACAAAATCTGAAGAGACCTTTTATGTAGTCGGAACATATGTTATTATTTTTTATGTTACAATTTTTATAATACGATTCGTGGGGCATTACAGTTTATAAATTGTGTTGTTCTATGGAACAAATAAATAACGCTATTTCACATCACATCATGTTCTTTATGTCTATTATGTGAAGTCTTTTAATTTGCCTTTCACTGTTTGTGAAGGCGGGGCGTAGAGTTCATCCATCATCACGTGACACAGAAAATGCTCCTTGAATTTCCGGAGAAAGTCTGTTTGATGGTCGTTTATAAATATTACAGGTGCGTATATGCATTTAGCTTAAACATTTTACTTTTCAGACTTAATTTCCTCCCTCGCTCTCTCAAAATACACAACAGAGAGGGGAAAAGGACTGAACTGTAGAACTGAGACCGGTGTCTTGTCAGCTTCATATAACTGCTGCATAAGCCACTGAATACACAAAATGATTATGAGCATATTGTTTAGGCCCTTCACGAATAAGCATTTTATTAGATGAGTAGTCTTGTTTGCTTAAATTTGATTATTTATTTTTTTAAATCAAAAAGTACCGGTTGACCCGTTTCAATTCAGCCTTCCCTTAAACAATAAATGTTGAATTAAATGATGTTTATGTGCAGGCACCATGTCATCCAGCACTGCTCAAAATCTCTGGATAGCAGCTGTCCTTCTGGTGTTTCTTGTTCTCATAGACGTGGTTTCATTCGCATATGCAGATAAAGTAAGTTTATCCCTGACACATATCCATTACATCTATGTTTTCAATATTTTCCCAAATGTGTCCCACGTATGTAAAATATTTCCTAAACATGTCACTTTCTTAACATGTTGCTCACACAGAGTTTTGAAGATGTGCGTTGCAAGTGTATCTGTCCACCCTACAGAAATATCAGTGGACATATCTACAAAAAGAACGTGTCCCAGAAAGACTGGTGAGACAGGCTACTGTACTAGGGACAATTTGACAAAGAATCTGCATTGTCTGTAAAGGATATTGTGTATAATTAAATGAATTGTCTTACACTATTTTCATCTAGCTGGGAATTTATTGTTAATGTATTGTTTGTAGTAACTGTCTACATGTGGTGGAGCCCATGCCAGTGCCTGGCCATGATGTGGAGGCCTACTGTCTGCTCTGTGAGTGCAAGTATGAAGAACGAAGCAGCAACACCATTAAGGTATTGAGCGACTTCCAGTAATCAATAAATCCTACTTTGAATTAAAGATGTTTATTAGAGTCTGATTTTATGCCTTTATAATCTAGTTATCCACTTTAAGCTGAATTGAGGAGTATTAATATTTTTATGTATTTCCCAGGTGACCATTATAATCTACTTGTCAGTGGTTGGAGCTCTTCTGCTGTACATGCTGTTTCTGCTTCTAGTTGATCCTCTGATCCGCAAACATGATCCGTACACCATGCCACTGCAGAACGAGGAGGATTCTGAGGTTTGTGCACATTTGTACTTTTTTTTTGCAGAGATGTAAACTAGAGACTTCACTCTTCATAGACTATAAATTGACTTGACTTGGATTTAAATGAGAGATTTTGGGTCTAATACGTCTTTCACACACCCTCTGTCACAAACATGAAGACACATTTTCTATTGAATGCAAATATACATAACAAAAAAAGTACGTTTTTTTTATTTTTTAGTTAAATGGTCGTTCATTCGACAACTTGTAAACTTGCTATTTTATTTTACCAGTCTTCACTGTCACATGATCCTTCAGAAATCATAACATTCTGATTTGCTGCTCAAGAAACATTTCTTATCATTGTCTTATATTACCGAAAGGGTAGAATTTTTTATAGACTTGTGACAAGAGTTAGACAAAGAGTCATATAATTTTTTATCACTTTTGTAGATACTGTGCTTGAGTTCATAAATATTTTTTCTTGGGTTTAGGTATTAATTGTGTCCTTTGTCTCCTCCTACAGGATGTGAGGCCGCGTGTGGATGGTTTACACGGTCGTGGGAACACTGTGCTGGAGAGGGTAGAGGGAGCTCAGCAGCGCTGGAAGAAACAGGTCCAGGAGCAGCGCAAGACTGTGTTTGACCGCCACAAGCTGCTCAGCTAAGCCCTCAGACAGACTCTAGCTGCGAAAAAAGGCTAATGGGCACCACTGACTGAGACAACTTGCATGGTGGTCTTATAGTTTCAGCTTTTATGACAATATGTTTTATCAGTGGGCCTGCATTATCATTAGTATTATAATCTTACCAAGACTGACTTGATTCTAGCTTTCAAACTGAAGCTGTGACAACATAAAGCAACTTGTTTAGTTTGCTTGCTGTTAACATAAATTAAGAGAATCAGCCAGCTCCATTTGGTCTCACACCTACATTTTTCACCCAATAACTTGAATATATCGGTGCTGTCACTACTTTGCTTTGAAATAGCATTGCAAAGGATGGGATTACATGGAAAGCAGTGTAATCTGGGAGTATTGATGTGGACCTCTATATAATATAGATGCACTTATGAATGTGTAGTGTCATTGCACTGTTGTAGTTTCATTTTGAATTACCAAGAAAATGTATTGTATGATTTCCATTCATGTAGGTATGTATTTATTTATTTATTGCTTGTTTGTATGTTTGCCAGTTGATAATAACATTTAGGATGGCACTTGTCACAAGCATATGTCTTAAATGTCATATAATAATGAAATATTTAAAAATGTGTATATTTACAATAGTGAAGGGGCTTTAAGTGATCAGCACTGTTGAATAGTATATCATAAGCTTCCTCTAATGTGATTTACACTTTTGTTGGATTTTCTGATTTACAGACATCCCAAAATATTGATTGTGCACCTCAAAATGTGAAGGAATTTGCTTTATTATATTTGCTGCTATAATGATTTTTCCAGTATGTAGCCAAACAACTTGCAGCTGTTTTACAGCTGAAATATTCTTGCTTATGTGAAAATGCACTGATGTATTAAATATATAAAGAATATTGTCAATTTTCTTTGTAACTTTTTCTTTTTTCTAGGTAAAATTCACTGAGTAACACTCACTTCCTGTGAGTGTTACTCAAAGTTTGACATTAAAATACAATGGTTATGTTATATATTTAGTTAGAAACTGCCTAAACTGGATCCTGTAAACATTCCCATCTGCTGTTTTGTACGGTAAATCACCAAGGGGAAAAGGCAGGCATATTTTAACACCACTTATGTATCCTATTGTTCATATTTTAAAATTTTCAATGTTTTATTTCATTTGTGGTGTTGTATAAGCAGCTGAATTTCTCTTACAGAACCTTAATCATTCTCTTTCTTCATCTGCTGCACCCCAAGGCTTCCTATCCCCTCCTCCACCTGCCTCCACACCCCCAAGAATGGACACTGACTGCCCGTCTATATATATCCCTCAGAATGGGCCATCTGCGCCTAAATGCTCCCTACCCCTCCAATGCCTCCTTGTCTGGTGTAGGTTTGCAGCAGGGGCCAGGGCCAAGAAGGTACACTGTGCCTTCTCAGAGAGGGCGAGATGGTGGATGAAGCTTAGGACCATACTAAAGATCTGACCTGGACTTAAGAAGACCAAGGATTTGCTAAACTAGGAATCATTTCAGGTTTTGGCTCTTTTTTTTGTGGGAATTGAGAAGATTTCACATTTAGGAGATCCAAAATGGAGTCAGGAGGTGGCGGTGGTGGTGGGGTGGCAGCTTTGGCCTCGTTCATCATGAATGAAGAAGAACTCAAGAGAAAGCAAAGGGAGAAACTCAAGAAACTGCAGGCCACAGGAGGAAACCCTCGACCTCCACGTTCCTTGTTCTTCTTCACGCTCAAAAACCCTTTCCGGAAGACCTGCATCAACATTGTGGAATGGAAGTATCCTTCAAACTTACATCCAATTTGTTTCCATAGTTTTAGACTGTGGTTTGATGTTTGTTTAGTTTTTAATCATAATTGAGATGGGCATGATTTAGAAAGGCATCCATCCCCCAGAGAGCTGGTTTAGCATGCATGCCAGAAAAAGCACGCAACCATAACTCAGATCTGTTTTACTCAGCGTCTTATGTTCAACAAAACCAGACTGAGATATTTGCTCCATTTGTGAGGTGGAGAAAATAAAAACAGACACAGTTGTTTTTCATAATCCCCAGGTTTAGTGTGTCTTAAGGTGTGGAAATCTGTCTCAGTTGTGAACTGAAGGTGTTAAGCTTTTGTTATGTGTCAGACTCACCACGGTCAGTTGGAAGCAGTTGGATCAGGTCTTTACACTGAAGATGATAAGGATGAACCCCAGTCTATTTACAGTCAGCAAATATACTATAAATAAGACTTCAAGCTAATGTTAATTGACTCAATTTACAGTTTTTATTGTTTTGGCTTCATAGGGTTTTTAGCTATTAGATTGACAATTTTGTATATGTAAATATGATTAAATGCACTTTTGAAGACATTTGAATGCTGTAAGAATCTTTAATAACTACAAGTTCCTAAATTCACAACAAGAACAAAAATCAACTGTGCTGCAATTCAGAAAAAGTTGGAAGCGGCTTCTTAACTTCCGCTTTGAGACCACGCTTGGAGGCAAAACTGACATATACAGCAAACATTTGCTTTATGAAGTGAAACTTTCATTTCCTGATTAGTTCATTAAGTAAGATGAATATAAATGTAAATCTGAATTGGAGATTATCATGTAAAAGTGTTTTGGCTTTTGTACAGAGGTGAATAGGAAATGTAATTTTGGAGCTCTTTTTTTGCATAGATGTATTTATACAGTTTAATGATATTCTGTCTGTGTACAGCTGTTGTGTGGGATCACTAGTGGACATGATGCTGAGCTGGCAGGGAAATTCTGATTCCACCCTCTAGTGGCAGAAATTCACTAATAATTACAGTTAGTTGGAGACTGCCAGTCATGTAGTTTAAACTGAAACAGCAATAATTTATTATTATAATATTTTTTACTGGACATGAAATCATATATGTATTATATATTATATATTCTGTCCTAGTAAATGTTTACACTGAGGTAAAACCATCTTTACTAGATGGCTTGTGTGTCATTGATTCTAATTTAGTTACTGACCAGATAACTACCCAAAATCTCTCTCGTTTCTTTAGTCACCAAAGCCACTTTTACTTGTATTTGGCACTGGGCGACTGTTGATTTTTGTTAAAATCTGATTTATGCAAATCATTTTCCAATGGTTGTTTCTGCCATGTCTACCCATTGTTTTCCTGAGCAGACTCCCTCAGACCCTTTGAAATCATTATCCTGCTAACTATCTTCGCTAACTGTATAGCTCTGGCTGTGTTTCTTCCCATGCCCGAAGAGGACATCAACAACACCAACTTAACATTGGTGAGATGTTCTTAAACTACACTTACCATTGGAGAACATACATGTTAAAGGAATAATCTCTAATTACAGTTCATTTGCATTAATACATCAACTAATTTTGAAAACAAATGCTACTGCAGGTAGCTACAAAAACATTATGGTACTGCAATTGCAAGGATGAACTGGATTAAAGGGATAGTTATGTTTTAGACACACCTCATGGTGTGTTGCCAGAGAATCTGAGATACTTAAACATGTCCAAGATAAAGTGTTCAGATTGTTGCCTACTCAGGCTTTTGGCCCTTGGGTTGTGAGAGGGACGTATTTGTTTTGAAACTGATATGTGTGCGCTAAAATTTTCGCCCAGTTGGCGTTTGCACAGGACAAATTTGTGATTTGCATAAATAAGCTCTTATGAGTTTAAGTTAAATAGAATTATGGGTTATATACAATGAATGCAATTTAGATCATGTTTTACAAACTAAAAATATACCATGCAGCAGGTGCTGTTTTGTGTCATGGGTTTTATATTTAGTCTTTGATTTGAGATGTGCATGTCCAAAGCTGCAAGTGTGGTGTTTATAAATACACTCAAATCTCAGAAGGGGATTTTCATGACGCATCTAATGAGAAATTAATATAGATTCTATTGACATGACTGTTCTGTCCCACGTTGAGGGTCCACTGCACAATTGCAGTGGACACAGAACTTTGCTGTTCTGCTCTTTTTATATGTGTAACCTTTTTTTTGTTTCAGCTATATAAACACTTGAATTAAACATGATAAATCCTCTTATTTCATGACTCAAGCTTTGACGGTATGTAGGTCACACACTCTTTCCACTAGCATGTGCAGTCATATTCTCCTCTCTCAGAACATAGAGTGTTATTACATTTCAGAGGGCACAAATCTGAGACCCACTCACTTATTTACTCCCCTGGGTTTAGTGACTTACGCCGGTGGGCCATCCATTCCTCAGATACTAAGTCATGAAACAGGAGCTGAGAGTGGGTCTCAGTAGACATGGTCAGAATGAGGTTGATATGGCCTGTTAGTGTAGAATGAGAGGCTGTGTGCTGTGTAAACATACTGATTAGATCCTCACTGCACAGTTTTCAGTGGCACCTTGCGCATGTTTTTTTAACAAATGATCTATGCGATACAGTTGACAGTGTGTTGAAGCTGCTAAAACCCCCTCTAAGATATATAGTCATTTTAGGATATGGAAACTACAAAACATGAAGAACAAGAAAGTTGAAGAAAATGTCTTGTAGGTTATACATTCTTAATGTTAAAATACTTTCTCCCAACCCAGCTTAATATGCAGATATGGGTCTGAATTCAAATAAATAAAGAACAAAATAAATGTTTTTTAACTCTGAATTTGTATCTTGCAGTTCTCAGAATTGTGAGGGGAAAAAAGTCAGAATCGTGACTGTATCATGTTTTACACCCCATTAATCCCTCTTATAACATTGTTTGTTTCCTTGCAGGAGAGTCTGGAGTACATCTTCCTGCTCATTTTCACTCTTGAGTGCTTCCTAAAGATTGTAGCGTATGGCCTCCTGTTCCATGAGGGAGCCTATTTACGAAATTGTTGGAACATGTTAGACTTTGTCATTGTGTTCATGGGGTAAGATGACATTTAAAATGTCCAGAAGTCATAAACAAAACACCCTGAAATGATTCCTAAAACTGTCCTGAACTCAATTCAACCATAGATTTTTTTTCTGTAGAGTTTGTGCAGTATTAATAATGCAATAAAAGCTGGCATTTTTAAAATGAATTTTCACATTTCTTAAATAATAGCTCTTTTAAATTGCCTCCGCAGGCTCTTCACACTTGGTGTGGACACCATCAACACAATAGCAGGAGTTCCCAAAGAGAAAGGAGGAGGGTTTGATATGAAGGCTCTTAGAGCATTTCGAGTCTTGCGACCACTGCGGCTCGTATCGGGAGTTCCCAGTAAGACTTTTAAGCACCACAATTAGGGCAACATAGGACTTTAAAGCTAGGTCCTTAATATACCTTAATATATAATTATTATAAGTATACTCCTATAATATTTCTAACAAACTGAGGCAGTGTTGAGTGAAAACAGATTAAATAGGTGCTTACAGAAATGTAAATGTGACCCTGGACCACAAAACCAGTCATAAGGGTCAATTATTCGAAATTGAGATTTATACATCATCTGAAAGATGAATAAATAAGCTTTCCATTGATGTATGGTTTGTTAGGATAGGACAATATTTGGCTGAGATACAACTATTTGAAAATCTGGAATCTGAGGGTGCAAAAAAATCTAAATATTGAGAAAATTGCTTTTAAAGTTGTCCAAATGACGTTTTTAGCGATGCATATTACTAATTAAAATTAAATTTTAATATATTTACAGTAGGAAATTTACAAAATATCTTCATGGAACATGATCTTTACTTAATATCCTAATGATTTTTGGTATAAAAGAAAAATCAATCATTTTGATTTGATAACCCATACAATGTATTTTTGGCTATTGCTACAAATATACCCCAGCGACTTAAGACTGGTTTTGTGGTCCAGGGTCACATATATGTACACGCTTTGTTAACTGTCTTGTAAGATTACAATATAATCATGTCTTTGTCGAATGTTAAAAAAAGCTGGTTTGTTAAAAGTATATTTGTTGTCATCCAGGCCTCCAGGTGGTAATGAGCTCTATTCTGAAGTCCATGTTGCCCCTCTTCCACATTGCATTGCTGGTCTTCTTCATGGTCACCATTTATGCCATTATGGGTTTGGAGCTGTTCAAGTGTAAAATGCACAAGACATGTTACTACCAGGGCACTAGTGAGTCTTTTTATTTGGAGACTGACATCAAACATATAAAGTGAATCTCATAACTGAAAACAAGTTTTAGATATGTAAAAGAAATTAATCAGTAATCAAGATCAATGTTTTCAACCTCTGTTTCAGATATCATTGCCATCAGGGAGAATGAGAAGCCATCGCCATGTGCTCAGGCTGGACACGGGCGCCGCTGCACCATCAATGGCACTGAATGTCGGGCAGGTTGGCCTGGTCCCAATTTTGGCATCACCCATTTTGACAACTTTGGCTTTGCCATGCTCACAGTCTTTCAGAGTATCACAATGGAGAGCTGGACTGATGTGCTCTACTGGGTAATTACTTATGGGCATGTCAATCCTCCTCTTTACTATCTTGTGGAGAGGCCAGAAGACAAATATTCATTTATATTATCAGGCAATAATTAAACTTCTCTATGCTAAAGTTAAATCATTACTGATAGACTACTATAAATGTATCCATCAGTATAGACTATATATAATACAATTAAATTATGCTGATATTCAGACCAACAGGATAACAAGGCTGATATTAGTTTTACACAGTTCAATAGACAAAAACCAACAATAGACAACCATATATGACCTCGCATATTATGCAGCATCTCGCACATGACATAGTGTCCTAGAAATCTGTGCTCAAGTTAAAAGAAATAAATTTTGTTTTAAATGGCATCTCTTTTTTTAAGGCAATAACATGTGTGAAAGACCCCTTAACTCTTGCGCGTCTCCAGGAAATACACAGAAGTAGTGTTGCATTCCTGAACGAGTCAGTGTGTTTGAACTAATTTGGTTTAATGACTCATTCATAAAAACAGCCACACACCAAATACACAAAATAATGATCTTTAAAAAAGCATCATATGACCCCTTTAATACATCATTTCCAAATCTTACTACCGTCTGTCTTAACTTTTCAACTTCCTTATTTTCCTGCAACAAATCACAAGAACTGTTACTCTGAAGTAATGAGAAGAGTGCCTTATTAGTCCAACTACTATCTTACTACTACTTACTAGTCTAAGGAATGTATCTTCGGCTTTTGCACAGGAACTTGCTCTGTGATTTTAAAATATTTATTTATTAAATAAATATTTAAAAACATGTATTGGTTTGTATTTTTTTGGGGTTAAATGTTGTTAATTTTTATTTATATAATTAATTTTATTTATTTATTTATTTATTCATTCATTCATTTTATTTTTATTTTATTTTATTGTTTATTTTTTTATTTTTTTATTTTTTTTACAGTAAATGACCTCTCATACACAAAATTCATGTTTCCTACACCAACACTCTTGTTTCCTCTCATGGGTCTTTAGGTACTGGACATCACTTAATAACTTAGTGGCATCCTTACTCAACTCAGTGAAATCCATTGCCTCCCTACTCCTGCTCCTCTTCCTCTTCATTGTCATCTTCTCCCTCCTGGGTATGCAGGTGTTTGGTGGGAAATTCAACTTCCCTGACAGAGTGATTCAGCGCAGTAACTTTGACAACTTCCCACAGGCCCTCATCAGTGTGTTTCAGGTACTCCACTTGCAGTTTTAGTGAAATTGTGCTCTGACAACGGAAGCTGTTTATGTGACATTGGGCTTCATTATCAGGTCCTAACTGGCGAGGAGTGGGACTCGATTATGTACAATGGAATCATGGCTCATGGTGGACCTCAATCCCCAGGAATTCTTGTCAGCATTTACTTCATAATTCTGTATATCTGTGGAAACTGTATCCTTTTGAAGCATATGTCATTATTTTCATGTCCCTGTTAATTTGTCCGAACTGATTAGAGATGATAAATGGGAATTAAGTGTGTTTAAAAGAATATAGCAAAGCACTTAATCTAAAAGAAACATTTGCCATTGTTTCTGCTTCTAAGTGCGAAGTATTTCAGAACCAATCATGTTGTATTGTTGTGATGAGGCTGTTTGGACTTTTCCTCAGCAGGCTGTTGATTAGTCGTTCTCTTGAATGTGTTCTTGGCTATCGCGATAACAAGGCTGATATTAGTTTTACACAGTTCAATAGACAAAAACCAACAATAGACAACCATATATGACCTCGCATATTATGCAGCATCTCGCACATGACATAGTGTCCTAGAAATCTGTGCTCAAGTTAAAAGAAATAAATTTTGTTTTAAATGGCATCTCTTTTTTTAAGGCAATAACATGTGTGAAAGACCCCTTAACTCTTGCGCGTCTCCAGGAAATACACAGAAGTAGTGTTGCATTCCTGAACGAGTCAGTGTGTTTGAACTAATTTGGTTTAATGACTCATTCATAAAAACAGCCACTTTCGCCACCTACTAGTGCAAAGATGTAAACTGCAGAAAGAGAAAAATCCCCACCAATAATGCACAGAGTGACAGTTTGTCTATATAGAGCAAGATTTTTGGAACAAATTCAAAATTCATGTTTGTCAAAATCAAATATATTAGTGATGATTTGATCTTTTAGATTCATGATGCCATGGGGAATGACTGGCCCTGGATCTACTTCTTGACTCTGATGCTTCTGGGCTCCTTCTTCATCCTGAACCTCGTCCTTGGAGTACTGAGCGGGTATTAGCTCGAGCTACGTTTTTAATAAAAAGTTTTAATACTAACTGCTTATTCTCTACTTAAAGTTTGGTCAACAAGTTTGGAAGTGTGAGATAAACTAAAACACAATTGTACATGTTTTTTTATTATTATTTCATCTAAATGCACTCTGGCTGGATGAGTCTACTGAATGGTTTATGGGACACAGATCTGTTCAATCAACTTAAATGACTCACCTTATTGAGAGACATAGAAATACAAGAATATCACATGACCAGGAAGCCATTTCAGCAAACTCAACTTCATGGTTAAGTGGCCTAACTGAGAAGAGTTTTTCCTTTATGCAGGGAGTTTACTAAGGAAAGGGAGAAGTCACGGTCACGAGGAGAGTACCAAAAGCTACGAGAGCGACAACAAATGGATGAGGATCTGGAAGGTTACATGGAATGGATCACTCATGCTGAAGTTATGGATGGAGATTATGAGGGTAATGGTGCTACTACAGTCCTCTGTCTGTCTGTCTACCTCTATATCTGATGTCATTCGAATGAAAATTTCAATGTATGTATATTTGATAAAAAGCACAGGAACTGCATCTTTAAAGTTTCTCACTACTTTGATACTCTCCAGCACTTCTTCTTCTTAGAAAGAACACTGATTCAGAGACAGACAGTTTGTACAAGATGGAGGGGATCAACAGGGTGATCTATTTCTAGTGAGTGTGCAATCAAGAACAAAAATATTCATCATGATTTAACCGAAGACTGATTTTTCATTTATTGTGTAATCCGCAGCCGTCTCGCACGCCGCTGGAACATTGTTTTACGAAGGAAGTGTCATGTTTGGGTCAAATCTAAATTCTTCAACTGGTGGGTTCTCCTTGTTGTGTTACTCAACACTCTGGTCATTGCGACGGAGCATCATAACCAGACTGAGGGGTTAACAAGTTTTCAAGGTCCGTTCCATTAAGCAATACATTGCAATACATTAAGCAATACAAGATTCCCAACTCCTATTTAGTTTTTTTTTTTTGGTTGTTTTAAGGAATCTTTAAAAATAGAATGATTCAACAGAATCATTCATAATTCTATTGATTTTTATATATATATTGGCAAATGAAGTGAGATCTTGATGAGTCTTGGTCCTGTTTGCAGACACTGCCAATATAATCCTGCTCGCCTGTTTCACGATTGAGATGGTTATGAAAATGTATGCGTTTGGTCTGAGAGCCTACTTTATGTCCATCTTCAACCGATTTGACTGCTTTGTGGTCACGATCGGAATACTGGAGATCATCCTGGTTGTGTCAAACATCATGACACCACTGGGGATCTCTGTGATGAGGTGTATACGTCTCCTACGCTTATTCAAGATCACAAGGTACTTTCATTTATTTAAATCTCATTTGAAAGAGAAAGCAGAGGAGAAAGCCCGAAGGAAACTCATGAGGTAAAAGAACATCTAATTAATACTTTTATCTCAGCAAGGGTGCATTAATCTGATCAAAAGTCATATTTATTATGTAACAAAAGATTTCAAATATATGCTGTTCTTTTGAGCTTTTCATCATAGAGTCCTAAAAAATGTTGTTTCCACAAAAAAATTAAGCAGTACATTGATAATAAGAGGAAATGTTTCCTGAGCATCAAATCAGCATATTACTCTGTAAAAAAAAATCCTTAAAATTTACGGTAAAAAAACGGCAGCTGTGGTTGCCGGAATTTTACCGTAAAAAAATACAGTAGCAACATTTAAGGTTTTACCTTTTTAACTTAAATTTACAGTTAAATACCGTAATTTCATTAAGTGAAATAATGTTAATATACCAACCTATTGAAGTACTGAAATCTGTTTTGTACCTTTGTAATACACTGATAACCACCAAATGCAGGTGATGATGAGAAAGTCACATGATGAAACAAAGCCCATCACAAGCAGCTTTTAAATAATAACATATATAGAAGGTGCACAGTGTCATTCACACAAACACTAAACACCATCATGGTAACACACATGACACTGAAATAATGCAATAAACATTCATTTAACAACATTAGGTGTAACACACAACCCTAATATACAAAACTGATAAGAAAAAACTAAGAAGAAACATAGTTATTTCAACAAAAAAACATCAAATTTGAAATGTAACGCAGGGAATTCTGGGAATGTCAATTTACGGTTATTCACTGTAAATTATAGGCCTACGGTCTTTTTCACTTCCAAAAACGGTATACTACCGTAAAATTACATGTAATGTCCAATACAGATTTTCACCGTATATAGTAGGGGAATTTACCGTTAACCATTTAACAGGTTTTTACTGTAGCATTTTTACAGTCTTTTACCATTAAATTCATGGTCATTTTTTACAGTGAATTATTTCTGAAGGACTATGTGACACTGAAGACTGGCGTAATGATGCAGAAAATTCAGCTTGGTCATCACAGAAATAAATTACATTTTAAAATATATATAAAACAGAAACAGTTATTTTAGATTGTAATAATATTTGACAATTTTACTGTTTTTCATTTTTTATGTTTGAGCAAATAAATTCAGCCTTGGTGAGCATAAGAGACTTCTTTCAAAAACATTTAAAAAAGTCTTACTGACCCCAATCTTTTGAATGGTAGTGTATTTGCATATCTATATATTACTAAACAACATTTTAACTTATTTATTCAAATAAGAACATTGCCAGAGAAAAGTGAGGAGGAGAAGGCCCTGATGGCTAAGAGACTAATGGAGTCCAGGTCAAAAGCTGAGGGAATGCCCACCACAGCAAAGGTATGGCCGACACGAAAGAGCTCACTGTGCTTATTTTAGATAAACCTACTGCAATACTTTGACTAGTTGGCCTTGTGTCTAGCACTATCAGGATGATCCACCACATCGGGTCTTCAGTCAATCACATCAAATTTTAGGCTCTGGCGCTAGCTTATTGTTTGCTAAATAAACAAAATGTAAACGCCTAAACCAGTTTCATCATGTTTTTATCTCCAGCTCAAGATAGATGAGTTTGAATCAAATGTTAATGAAGTGAAAGACCCCTTCCCTCCTGCAGACTTTCCAGGTAAGGCTGAAGAGTTTAAATATCAACTGAGGGCTCTGCACTCCATAAAATGCTGGCTCAGACCTCACAGTACATCTCGAAACATGTAAAGGAAGAAGTCCAAAGATAGCTGATCTGTTATAAGTAAAATGTATTATTAGCTCCAGCTTCCAAGCTCATTTATGGAGCGCATTTTAAACCACAGGGCTGGCTATTTTCATTAGATTTTCGAGCTGTGCAAAATTAAATTAGCTTCACAGCATAAACGGCTTCATGATCAATGCTAATCCAAATACATCTTATTTCACACAAGTAGATCACAAATAAAAGCATAGTATTTTTGAGTTGACCAAGCTGTAATCCTTCTCTCCTGCTCAGGTGATGATGAGGAAGAGGAACCAGAGATCCCAATCAGCCCCAGACCCAGACCCATGGCCGACCTGCAGCTCAAGGAGACAGTGGTTCCCATGCCTGAGGCCAGCTCCTTCTTCATCTTTGGCCCACAGAACAAGTGAGGCTTTATGCCCTGATTTATAATACCATGCAGACCACTAAAATTAAATTTAGAACTAGACTTTAATTGTGCCTAACAAATGGCCGCAAAATGATTTACTGTTGCTGTCTGATAACTGATGCTGTCTGTCGAAAGGTTCCGGAAGCTTTGCCACAGGATCATCAACCACACGACCTTCACCAACATCATCCTCCTCTTCATCCTCCTCAGCAGTATCTCCCTGGCTGCTGAAGACCCCATCGACCCCCATTCATTCCGAAACAAGGTGGCAAAAACTTTGATTATTGTATTGCTTTTTTAACTGAACTATTAGTTATCCGTTAAAAATTTACATTCACTAATTCCTTTCACAGGTCTTGGCCTATGCCGATATTGTCTTTACGACTGTCTTCACCATTGAAATTGTGCTGAAGGTAATGTGATCGTCAACTTGATGTTACTTTCAGATTTGTGGTTTGGCTGACATTTAATTCAGCACTGACCTGTGCATTTTTAGATGACGGTTTATGGAGCGTTCCTGCATACTGGCTCTTTCTGCCGAAACTCCTTCAACATTTTGGATCTCATTGTTGTGGGTGTTTCCCTCTTGTCCATGGGCATGGAGTAAGTTCAATAATATTTTATGTTGTTTCAGTTTTTTAGTATACATTACCCATCATATTAATGCTTTGACAAGATTATTTTTGTCTTCCACAAGGAATATATAAATTACAAAGACAACCTATTAAATAAAAAATATCAGTTAACTGTTCTCGCACATGCATTATTCCACTGATGAACACCTACAGCATTTTTGTACGTAATTCAATATGTACAAACAGTGTGTGAACATATGTGTGAACAGCATAGTCTAATTAGCAAACAAATGACTCTTAAGAGCCAGTTCTTTTCGGTGAATTAAAAACACATAGCACAACCAAATGTAGTTCAGATGATTCTTGAATAAATGACTCTTATGAGCCAGTCCTTTACAGTGAATCAAAAATATTTAGCCCGACTAATGTACAGTAGTCCAAGTGAGTCTCAGATCCATTCAGCTCATTGAGTGTAGTCCAACCGATTCCTGAATGAATGACCCTTGTGAGCCTGTTCTTTTCAATGAATCAAAAACACATAGTGCAACCAATACAGTTCAAACTTTTCTTGATTGAATGACTCTTATTAGTCAGTTCTTTTTAGTGAATCCAAAACATAATGCTCGACCTGTGTATTCCCATTTGAGAATGAATGATTCTTATGAGCCTGTTCAGTGAATTAAAAACATATAGAGCGTCCAATGTAAAGAAACACATTGTGAGATTTGTTGGTAGTACTTTCTAAAAAAAGAAATGAAATTAATCATACAAGTTAATATTTTTGTAATTAAAATACAGTCAAGGCCACTAACTGAATTGCATTATTGGATTGCAGGTCGAGTACCATCTCAGTGGTGAAGATTCTCAGGGTGTTGAGGGTACTAAGACCTCTAAGGGCCATCAACAGAGCCAAAGGGTTAAAGGTGGGTATGCATTCAGCATCTTAATGAAAAAGCTGCTTTGATTTGTTATGTAGCATTTGTCTGTGTATTTAAATATGGATAGCTGCCATTGAAACTATAGTTTATATAGTATAGTATAGTATATAGTATAAAGTATACTGAGGACTTTTCGAATGCTACTATTATATGGTTGGTTTTGGGCCAATCTTCAAAGCATGATACAAATTAGGCACTAAATATACTCAAATTTTCATCTCCAGCATGTGGTCCAGTGTATGTTTGTGGCCATAAAGACCATTGGTAATATTGTCCTGGTCACCATGCTCTTAGACTTCATGTTTTCCTGCATTGGAGTGCAGCTCTTCAAGGTGAGACAACCACCGTAATGTGCTTTAAAACCTTGCGTTTTAAAATGGAGGAAGTGACTGTATGCTAAATGTATTACCTTTATTTAGGGCAAATTGTACTCTTGTACGGACCCCCTTCAAACGACAGCAGAGGAGTGTCAGTGAGTATTTTTAGCCACATTTCCTTAAATGGTGTGCTTTTTCCTCTGAATGTTGCTGCTGGTATGTATCTAAAACATTGCTTTTGGTTGTTCTTAGGGGAACATTTTTAAAGTATGTTCAAAACTCTCTTCATGACATGGAGGTCCATCAGCGCAAGTGGGTCAACAGCGATTTCAACTTTGACAATGTGCTGAACGGCATACTGGCTCTCTTCACCATCTCCACATTTGAGGGCTGGCCAGAGTAAGTGTGTGAAAATCTCATCCTATTTTTTTTTATCTTCTTTTAACATTGTTTCATCAGTCAAGAACATGTTTCACACAAAACCTTCCTTCACTCACCTTCAACAGGATCCTATATAGGGCTATAGACTCAAATGCAGTAGACACAGGCCCTTTGTACAATAACCGGGTGGGCATCTCCATATTCTTTATCATCTACATCATCATCATCGCCTTCTTCATGATGAACATCTTTGTGGGCTTCGTCATCGTCACTTTCCAAAAACAAGGAGAGCAGGAATACAAGAACTGCGAGCTGGACAAGAACCAGGTAACCAGTGTGGTCTTTGATGTTCTTCACATGCGATTTGTGTGTATATTGAACGATAAAAGTTAAACAAAATATCCTTTTTACAGTATACTGTATATCAACATTTCAAATACCTGGTTTAACTCCACTTTTATTGTATATACAGTATCTATCAGGTTTATGATGCTAATGCAACTGGGCTTACTGTGCTGTCATTTTATAATCATCTTCTCTTGCCGTCTCACCCCTCACCAGCGTCAGTGTGTACAGTATGCACTGAAAGCACGGCCCCTTAAATGCTACATCCCGAAGAACCCGCACCAGTACCGTGTGTGGTACTTTGTGACCTCCTGTTACTTTGAGTATCTCATGTTCTTTCTCATCATGCTCAACACGCTGTGTCTTGGAATGCAGGTAAGCAGTTAAATAGCAGTTACCGTTATTTACAGCTAATGATATTCATCACTACTGTTCAAAAGTTTGGGGTCAGGGAGATTTATTTAAAGAAATTAATACTTTTATTCGGCAAGGATGCATTAAATTGATCAAAAGAGGCGGTAAAGTCATTAATAATATTACAAAACATTTTAAAATATATTAAAATAGAAAACAATTGTATTTGTAAAAATTGTAATAACATTTCACAATATTGCTGTATTTTTGATCAAATAAATGCAGCCTTGATGATCATAAGAAACTTCCTTCTAAACATAAAAAAAATCTGATTTTGAGTGGTAGTCTAATTCAGTCAATATTTGGCTTTTTTTTGGGGGGTGGGGGGTCTTTTTTATTTTTTATTTTGCATATATACCGTATTGATTATTTTCCATTATTTCAGTAAATACTATGTAATTTTATTGCTGCATGTAATATTATTTTTCATTAAATTTATATTGCCTTTAATTTGACCATTAAAAACCTTAACATTTACCACTGTTTTCAAGCCAATAAAGTAAAGCTTAATCCCATTCAGTCAGTATGTTAGTCAGAACAGTGTTCAGTCTGTATAATAGTTTATAAAACAATTTCAAAATGGCTGCTTTGTTAATCTGTTGTCTCTCTTCTCTCTGTGGTACAGCACTGCAACCAGTCCGATCACATAACCAAACTCTCTGACACCCTCAACCTCATCTTCACTGTCCTGTTCACTGGCGAGATGATCGTCAAACTCATTGCATTCAAAGCAAAGGTACTCCTGCTTCCTCCATATAAAACTGTGTAAGAAGATGTGCTCTATTTTATGACATTATTGGTATTCTGTGTGTGTCTTGACACAGGGTTACTTTGGAGATCCTTGGAATGTGTTTGATTTCGTCATCGTGATCGGTAGTATTGTTGACGTGGTCCTCAGTGAGGTTGATGTGAGTATGACAATAATTTGAGACTCCACACTTACGTCAAAATATTGTCAGAGTGATTTATATGTTGTGTCAATGTCTCTACAAAAGCGAAAGCATTTTAAATGGCGACCAACAATGGCTTGTATTTTAAACCCGTATTTAGCGATACATGAAGCACAGACCACAGCAAGCAGTCAATGTCAGCATTAGTGCACAGGAGGTACCGATTTCATCAGTTCCAGCTTAGTATTCTTCTCATTCAACCAACTTCACTCATCAGTGGCCATTGATGGGCTCATTTTCATGATTCATTTCACATATGTTAATGAACCACCCTCTTTCCATCTCTCACAGCTGCTTAATACACACCGCTCCACATCTCCAAGAGTGATTTGATGCACTTTTTATTGTCTATATAAATAACCACTTGTTTTGGAAGTGTGATCCATAATTTTGATGTTATGTTGATGTTTGTCTCTGATTCACAAGATGCATTTCCGTTTCTATGATTGTCATCTCTCATCCATCACCCTGACTTCTCATCTCTCTGTTCTCAGGCTGCGCTGGAGGCCAGTGGAGGACTGTGGTGTCTACACGGTTGTGCTGTAAATATCATTCTGCACTGCATGGGACAGACTCTGCTCACATTATCATTTTTTAGAAGCTTAATTGTCCACAAATAAGCATCATACCACATTATGGTGTTGCTATTTTGCTTTATATGATATTATATGCTGCTATTACATTGTATTATATTGCATGACTGATGGAAAAGAGTGAAAAGAGTCTATTCTTTTTTCAGGAAGTGAATCCAATGCAGGCAATAGCTGTAAGTACATTATCCTGGTTTGTTTTCTTTTTAAACACTTGAAAAAGGGCAACTTTAAATATTTATAGGTGGAACTAAATATTTATCTCATAATTTTACTCATTTATAGGATGCAGAAAATGTCAGAGTTTCCATCACGTTCTTCCGGCTGTTCCGTGTGCTGCGTCTCATTAAACTGCTCAATCGTTCAGAGGGGATCAGGAACCTTCTGTGGACCTTTATTAAGTCCTTCCAGGTCAGACAAGATAATTACACATCACATCTCCGTGACAAAAGAAAATGAAATGATTAATAATGGCTAGTTAAGAATATATAAGGATCATACGAATGTATTAATTTAATTTAATTTAATTTAATTTAATTTTAATTTTATTTATTTTTTAATTTTTTAATTTTTATTGAATCTCTTTGAATTTTACAACAGTAGCTAGGTGGTGAAGACAAGAATTTTATTTTATTTTATGTTATGTTAAGTTTTGTTTTGTTTTGTTTGTTTCAATTTAATTTAAGTTTAGCTTTGTTTTAATTTAATTTTAGTTTAGTTTAGTTTTGTTTTGATTTAAGTTTAGATTAGATTAGATTAGATTAGATTTAATTTAGTTTAGTTTAGTTTAGTTTTGTTTTGTTTTGTTTTGTTTTGTTTAATTTAATTTAATTTTATTTTATTTTTAAATTTAATTTAATTTTTTTATTTAATTTAATTTTTTTAATTAATTAAATTTTTTAATGAAAAGTGCTTTAGCTTTAACTAAATGTATCTTACAGTATATGATGTTGTGTTTCCTGCTTCAGGCACTGCCTCATGTGGCTCTTCTCATTGTCATGCTCTTCTTCATCTATGCTGTCATAGGGATGCAGGTGAGCTTCACTTACCTTGTTTCCTTCATTTGTTTAAATTTCCTGTAGTTGCTCTCATTCTTGTTATCTTATTCTCCAGTTCTTTCTTCCTCTCTCTTTCTCCTTCTCTTTATAGATGTTTGGTAAAGTTGCTCTGGTCGATGGTACAGAGATTAACCGCAACAACAACTTCCAAACTTTCCCTCAAGCTGTATTGGTATTGTTCCGGTGAGTCAACAATGTACTGAGAGAAAAAATGTTTTGCTTGTTTGTTCTCTAATAAAAGTCATTCTTTGCAAACTTGAGAGCTCATATAGTGCAACTCTATTTTTAGTCGAATAATCATGTAATTGATGAATGTGTGGGTTCACAGTGTGGCCACTGGAGAGCAGTGGCCTAAAATCATGCTGGCCTCTATGTACGGGAAGCTCTGTGACCCCAAATCAGACTACGGCCCTGGAGAGGAGTACACCTGCGGCTCCAGCATCGCTGTCTTCTACTTCCTCAGCTTTTACATGCTGTGTGCATTTTTGGTAAGCAAATATGAGGATCTTGTAGCTTACACATGGTAAACTTGGAAATCAGATCAGAATACAGGATCCGACATTGCTGTTTGTTTTAGAAACTAAATCATTATCTTCCTGGTAGATTATCAATTTGTTTGTGGCTGTCATTATGGACAATTTTGATTACCTCACTCACGATTGGTCAATCCTTGGCCCACATCACCTGGATGAGTTCAAGAAGATCTGGGCAGAGTATGACCCTGAAGCAACGTGAGTTAAAGCACACAAGGCTCCAATGCCAGTGTCATCTTATCCTGTAGCTCTGTGCTTCTTGGATATTTATTTTATGATTTGCCCTAAGACATAATAAAGTACACTGCCTTCTGTCCTTATAAAAGGGGACGAATCAAACATCTGGATGTAGTTACTCTCCTGCGGAGGATTCAACCACCGCTGGGTTTTGGTAAATTTTGTCCCCACCGCTCAGCATGTAAGGTAAGACAATTGGCATTTATTTGTTTTGTTTTTTTTTGGTTTCTGTTAAAAGTAAACTAGTGTTCAGAAGTTTTGGGGTTGGTAAGAAATTTTGATGTTTTTTTTTTTATGCTCACCAAGGTTGCGTTTTATTTGATAAAAAATACAGTAAAAACAGGAATATTGTGAAATATTATTACAATTTAAAACAACTGTTTTGTATTTGAATATATTTTAAAATGTAATTTATTCCTGATGGCAAATCTGAATTTTGAGCCCCCATTACTCCAGTCTTCAGTGTCACATGATCCTTCAGAAATCATTCTAATATGCTGATTTGCTGCTCAAGAAACATTTCATATTGTTATCAACAACAATGTAAACAATACAATTAAAAATTGGAATTTAAATTTTTCATTTAGATCAATTCAGTGCATCCAAGACTTAATTTAAAAAAAGTACTGATCCAAAATTTTTGATCAGTAGTGTATTTCAGTGAATATTTTAAATCTGTATTTGTGAACTTCTACCTCAGCGCCTAATTTCCATGAACATGCCGCTGAACAGCGACGGCACAGTGACCTTCAACGCCACACTCTTCGCATTGGTCAGAACAGCTTTGAAAATCAAAACTGAAGGTGTGTAATTAAGATCAAATTCAATTAGCAGTTTATTTCGCAGCATAGTGTTTAATTTACGTTTTTCTGTTAGGAAACTTTGAGCAGGCCAATGAGGAGCTGAGAGCCATCATTAAGTCAATCTGGAAGAGGACCAGTATGAAGTTGTTGGACCAGGTCATTCCGCCCATTGGAGGTGAGATAGCTGCGATGATAGTCATTTATGTTTAAATAACAAGTTTTTTAAATACAATCCATGTCTGACTGTAATGTCATTTCATTGGCTGTAGAGGATGAAGTCACTGTTGGAAAGTTCTATGCAACCTTCCTGATTCAGGAACACTTCCGCAAGTTTATGAAGCGGCAGGAGGAATACTACGGTTACAGGCCCACCAAGAAGAACGCTGATGAGATTAAGGTGCACTTTATGATAAATGTTTGTAGTAACTATCATAAAAAGGACACTTTTCTAGCAAAATACTAATAAGACTTCCGTCTGACTTTGCAGGCAGGTCTGCGCAGCATCGAGGAGGAAGCAGCACCTGAGCTGCACAGGGCCATCTCAGGTGACCTGATCGCTGAGGATGAGATGGAGCGTGCCATGGAGGCCGGAGAGGAGGGCATCTACAGGGTCTGCACTGAAGCATCTTCATAACGAAATAGATAAATGTAGACTAAGACGTCCATTTAGACTTACAGTCTCTGTGTCTCTATCTATGCAGCGGACAGGAGGTCTGTTTGGACTGAACAGAGACCCCTTCTCCTCTGAGCCCAGCAGCCCTCTCTCCACACAGGTGACCAGCCAGAGGCCCCTGCAGTTTGTGGAGACTCGTCTGGAGGATGTAGAGTCACCTCCAGACTCCTTCTTCCTCCCGAACTCTGAGTTCTTCCCTGATAACATGCCAGCAACCAACACCAATAACAATGCCAACTTCAGTGAAGAGTGAGTGGATAACTATAATGAAAAATGCACTTAATGTGTATCTGTAAAGGTCACAATGCTCATTTGATGCTGTTTTTAGTATGTCATCCAGGTTTACATTTGAAAGCGAGTCACTGTCACCTGCTGCAACCAGAAACTATTCATACGAGGACATATGTGAAAAGAGTAGGTGATCGAGGAAAAAAATGAAATAAAGAATAAACAAATTTATATTATCTTTTTTTTTTCATTAGAAAAAGGTTATCTTTTATTAGAAGTCATAAGATTTTTTTCTTTTTAATTGTGATATTGTTTTCAGGTCAATTAAGCATTTTATTAAATTATATACTCAACTCTTTACTGTAATTCAGTCATTTATTTTACATTATTACATTGAAAAAAACGGATTTACTTTTTTATTAAATGTTATTCATTTTAAATACATTTTTATTTAAAGGCACTCTAACAAATGCCACCATATACATTACTGTTCAAAAGTTTGGGGTCAATATAATTTTTTTTTAAAGAAATTAATACTTTTATTTAGCAAGGATGCATTAAATTGATCGAAAGTGACAGTAAAGACATTGTAATGTTACAAAATATTTATATTTCAAATAAATGCTGTTCTTTTGATCTTTGTATTCATCAAAGAATCCTGAAAATCATGTTTTTACTGTACTGTACTGTACTGTAAAAATATTAAAGCAGCACAACTGTTTAAGAATAATTTGCATATTAGAATGATTTCTGAAGGATCATGTGACACTGAAGACTGGAATAATGACTGCTGAAAATTCAGCTTCACATCACAGGAAAAAATTACATTTTAAAATCAATTAAAATAGAAAACATTTTCATTTGTAAAAATATTCTACAATATTGCTGTTTTTACTGTATTTTTGATCAAATAAATGCAGCCTTTGTGAGCATAAAAGACTTCTATTATAATCTATCAAGCCATTTATAATCATTTCACCATGAAAAAATCCAGTTGATAATAATCATAATTACAGTAATCTACACACTTTATTGTATAAATGACATTATTTCCTGTGCAACCAATAGGAGACTCCAGTTTGTATGTGGGCGGGGCCTCAAGCGCTGATGACAGACGGCTGTCAGATTTCACTGTGAGGACCGATATCACACAGGTGTGGACAGGTGTCACATTTCCTGAGCTAAACACGGTCCAGTGACTACTTGATATTCCTCTCTGACTCCTCCGTGTGTGTCTGACTCTCTCAGTTCCCCTATAACCCCTCATATGGAGCGTCAAAGAACCAGAGAGAAGCAACAGAAGCTTCACCAGCCACAGACAAACTCATTCAGCAGGTAAAAGGCCCCAGGCCACATCTCATGTACTTAACATTCATTCCGTACCTTCTCAGGAAAGACTATTGTATAAAATACTATAATAAATACTATGTATTTTGTATGAATCCTCAGGCACTGAGAGACGGTGGTCTAGACTCCTTGGCTGAGGACCCACAGTTTGTATTTGTGACTAGGAAGGAGCTGGCAGAAGCCATTAATATTGGTGTGGAGGATATGGAGGGCATGGCTCAGAGTATTGTTAACGGGCAGAGCGGCAAGGTAACAAAACGTAAACGCCGTCCCATCCCAATTCCACCCGGCACCAAGTCAACCAAACCCAAGGAAAACACTAGTGCGGTGTAGTAACACACTGAGAGACATTCAGCAAATTCATAAGACGTCATCAGCCTAAGTCTTCTGCCATTGTCCAAAATCACTTACTTCAGTTTATGAACAAGTAGTGCACTGGTTGATTTGAAGGGTACTTTTTTCAAAGATGGTAAGAGAAATAACATATAAAAAAAAGGACGCCTGTCTGAACAACGTTACTGCTATTTATATGAAGTCAGGTGATTTTTATTTCTGATGGCTGTTCTGATTTAGGAATTTACCAAACATCCTCAATAAATTTGTTCACACACTGTTCTGTGAACATTTACATTTGAGTGAGTTACATAACACAGACAAATGCCTAAAAACGTTGTAATCTGTGGACATAGAGCCACAAAGGCAAGTCTTTTCTTTGGTTTGTCTGCCACATGTACCTGTGGTTTAAACCTTTTTGTATTTAGTTATAAAATACTGAATGGAAGGATTATCATCCTGACATCTTGTTTACAAGAAAATATTTGGCAGTTTTTAAAGAAGAAATTTAGAAGAAAAAAAAAACATACTGTATACATAAAGCGTACTGGTCCTAAAAAGAAATTCGATTTTATTTCATTTTTTATCTAATTTAAATGGAAAATGTTTGCATGATTGTGATTGACAGGACAAATACAATATGCAAAACACTTAATTTGTGTTTTTACATTTACTCACTTAGTAAATGCTTTTATCCAAAGTGACTTACAAAAGAGGCAGGAAGGGCTTATAATGTCCGATAAAGGCTTAATGAATTGATTTTTATTTGCAAATTGAAGTACATATTCATATGTTTCACATGAGCCTTTACATTCTTCAAAAGAATCTTCCTCAGTGCTCATAATGGGATTGAAAATGAAATGTCGGCCGTTGGCTTATACATGGAGTAACTTCCCCTTTTTTCTGGAGTATGCAAAGGATAAAGGATTGTTTTTTTTTCATTTACCGGCTTGTATATTTGTTGTATAGTACAGCTGAGATGGATATAGGACAGTGGGGATGGGATCAGTGCGTGACGCAGGCTGGATTTAAATTGTGTCCCCATGAGAATGACTAGTTTTTGTGTGTGCACTACCCACAGCCACTGACACATTTTTTGGGCTAGAGGAGTTTTCTAGGGACATTAGATGTAGACATTTACATGTAAAGCATGCACAGCAAAAATACAGTGCAGATACTTGACTAAAATAACACTGAAACATGTTTTTTTTAAAAACTGTTGCTCTAGAAGTTTTTCACTGAGCAACAATGTACCTGTTTTTTTAATCTTCTCAATGTAGCAGCAGAAGTCCTCATATAAAATCATTTTGCTTGTGACTTCACTGAATATTGCAAAGTTGCACCTTTTCAGAGTATAGCTGAACTTTAAAAGAATGTGTTGACCGATGCCACAGATAGACGTCTTAAAGCTGTATTTTCTCTTGTATAATGTCTGATCTGTCATTTCTGTTCAGCACATTTTTATATTTCATTGCAAAGTACAAAATTTTGTTGATGGATTTGGGTTGTTTAGATACACACGTTTTCCCTTTCCACCTCAGCCTGTGTGTGTGTCTTGCAAATGAATATGTAATGAAGTTAAAGTGCAATTTAATAAACATGAAAGAGATGTTCACATTTTTCTTGGGATATGGGAAAATTCTCTCTAGCCATTTAGATTCATATTGTGTTATATAAATGATCTGGAAAATATGCAAATAATTTGATAAAAAACATTTAATATTAACACTTAAAAAATAAACGATATTCAGTTTTTCAAATAAGAGCACAGTAATAATCACATTTTAATTTTACTGAATAGCTTTAATATTAATATAACTGTCCTGTGACTCTATTATTGAGCTTTACATCTAGATTAAATTTGCCTGTGGGCACATACAGATGAAGTGCAACTGCAAATAGCACAAAGCAAAAGCTAGTACTTAAATATTATTATTAATATCATGTTTGCTGTAGACAGATGGTGTGATGAGCGGTCTATGGCCAGTGCAGCTGTACTACACTGTAGAGAGGGAAACTTGAGAGCAGCTCCAGGTACTATTAATACTGCAACACGTTACAGCTCAAGCCTCTTATGGCATGAAACTGAATCCATAAAGCAGCAGAGATGAGAAGTTCAGACACTGTATGAACTGACGTCACAAATGTAAAAGCAGTGGTTAAATTAAGACTCATTTTTAAAATATCTGAACTCGACAGGCTTCAGTAACAGAAGACGTGCAATTACACAGAACTTAATTACAATGAATTTATTTATACAGGATTTTTACTTACATCAACTAAAGTCACACGGTGTGGTGTAATCAAACAACTTAAGCACGCTTAAAGAAAATACAAAAAAGCTGCTAAATCCCTAAAAGCTGTGGGCCAGTGGGCTGATGGTTCCCACGCTGAAGGATAATGCCTTCAAAGCTCTGATGGGACAAACAGCACATTTCCAGCAGTCCATTTCAATGAAGCACTTCCCCTCAAATGAAGTAATGAGGTTTCTTTACATTTACGCCATACTCTGCCATGGCTGGTGTCAGATCTTCCATTGTCAGCGTGTACTTCTTGTCCTGGGAGGTGAGATGAGAAGAGTGTGAATGAGAGATATTTACAACACATTTTTAATTTGGCCTGCAGATTAAACATTCATTATATAGATTTACTGTATAATATGTTACTGTACTAATCACAGTTTGCGAACACAAACCTTGGTCTTGTTTCGGGAGCTTCCCGAGGCCGTGCCCTTCATTTTGCAGTGCTGTAGTGCGTCATTTGCAATATCTGAGATGAACTTCTGAGACGCCAAAGATATGAGACGGATTCTGACAACACACAAGGGGATAAAGACGTCAAGGAAGATTCATGATTCAAGCATTTTTTTAAAACCCTGATGAGTAAATGATACACCAGATATTTTTATTAAGAAATTCAGTGTTTTAATATTGGCCTAATGTATTACCAACAATGCAATACTCTTCATGAGACATAAATGTGTTATTTAAGCCCATTCACAGGACAATAGCTATATAGTTTTAAAAATCATTCTACCGCTATTTAATTAAGGACATGGGAATGATATCATTGGTATGTTTTCTAAAGTGATTTTTTTTCCAGCTGATGAATGGTAAAAACATTTAAAAGCTAATCAGACTTAGAGCATTTAAAGTGCCAGACAACAAAACTGTAGGGCACACTTATAAATAACTCTTTATTATATATTATTATAGTATTTATTCACCTTTTTATACTTTCATGTTTTATTTTAAAGTTTTAGTAATTTTATTATATGCTTTTGTCATTTTTTTATTTTTAGTTTATTCATTATTTTACTTTTTTTTTCTGTTTAGCTTTAATTGATTTTTATTTCAGTTTTAGATTAAGTAATTTTAGTACTTCGACTCAAACATAATTATTTCAGTTAGTTACCAATGCAACATTTCTCATTTTTAAGTTTTAATCTAATATTTATATTTTATTTCAGCCTTATTTCAATTAACAAAATGATTTTTAATAGTTTTAGTTATAGTTTATTTTTAAAATACTTTGAAAAACTTACTTTTGTAAAAAAAAAAATAATAATAATAATTGCTTAAAGAACCTAAATTTTAAACACTGTAAAAAAATGTTTAGCACCACTGCATAATTGCTTTCTGAGAGAACATTGTTCCAACTCACATTCTTGGATCGGATGCTTCAAAACCAGCTCGGTTGAGGTAGTATCCTGTGACTGCGTCTGGGATCTGAAACACAGACAGTCTGTTAACAGTGCTACTCAGAATATACCATCAATAAGCAAAGAATATAGAGTACTGCAATCATATGTAGACTGACTGTAGGAGTGTAATCCTCCAGCTGCATCAGGAAATCGGCCAGCGGTGTGGTTGAGATAACGGGCTTCACGTCTCCATTAGCGATGCCTGTGGGCACATACACCCCGTTTGACACGCTGGAGTCGGATGATGGGGTCGCCATGGCTGCCGAAGTGGGAACTGTGAGGTGGGGGGGGAAGTACGACAGGACAGACCTTCAGAACTGCACGAATAATAAAGATTACAAATACACTACTCTCCATATTTACAAACTTACAGACCAACACTAATGGAGCTAAAGGCTAAAAGACAACAGCAACTCTATGCGCGTTCAAACTGTCAAAACAAACAAACAAAAAAACACCCACCATTACTGCTGCCGAACGCAGGGATGCTGCTGGCGTTTGTGGAGGTGCTGTTCGGGACGCAGTTGCTGCTGCTGCCGGATGCGGCTGCTGCTCCAGTCTGTCCGGTTTGCGGAAGATCCACGTTCATTTTGTCTTGCTTAGCTTGAATATTGCAATAAATTGGGGATACTAGACAAAATCTACGCAGTTTAAACTAAGGAAAAGTTAAGTCGATAATCATTTATGCAGATAAAACAGCGAAGTCGGGGATCATTCGCTTTAAGAGAAATATTTACGCAGGATGTGTCACGTGATTAACACTTCCGTGTGCAACCAGTACGACAGTCCGGAGAATAGATACATATCTATTCACATCAGAATTGTGAACAATAGTTCCGGGATAGATTGCGTTTCCGTGAACATTTATCCAAGCGTGTTTTCAAGCGCAAAATATCAAGCGCAAACATAAGTGTTCAAGTTATATTTTGTAATTTAGAGATAAATAGAGAAAAACATATTTCATGCGTCGACAGATGAGGTGTTGCAAACAGCTCCACCTAGTGATGTTATTTGGTTACTTGATTTCATAATAATTTACAAAGGTGTAAAGGTAATTTACAAAACATTAATTTCGTAAATGGAGTGCTTTATTCATGTGCACTTTAGTATTCAAATGACCCTCTAGTTCTTGTCACACCTTCTCTGTGACAATTTTCCATTAATGTATTTTATATATTTTTGTATTATATTTATATAATTATATTTACTTACAGAGGAGATCAAAATTGGAGAACAACCTACAATTTCCTAAATTTCAATGTCACTGCTTAGTCCTATTTAAAGTGATCCTAACAGGAGTAGAAGGACAGTTTTTAAGCATATTTCATAAATTAATTGTATTCTGAAGCACAATATAAAAAACTTAAATGAGATATTTGAAAAAGAACTCTGATCAAAATTACCTCCAAGTTATTGGTGTTAATCTGGCACCTGGTGCTAATTTCCTTAATTATATGATAAACCCTATTTAAGTGGCAGCATTCCTCTAATTTTCACTGAGATTGCAAGGCAGACCGCTCTAAGGTGACTGAAGCCCTGCGACAGGAGGTTGTCCAGACAAAGGCCAAAAGGATGATGCGTTCAGCCATTGCAAGAGAAGCTGATTGTTCCGAATCTTTGATTTCTAGAATATAGTAGGTTTACAATGACACTAATTCATTCAAGTTCCCCAAAAAGACTGGCTGTCCACGTAAGACAAATACATGAGAAGACAGGATAATGCAGAGACTCTCGATGGAGAATTGGTTCAACACTGCAGCTGGAATTGCCAGTTCGGTGCTGAACAGGGTACGGATCTGTCTCGGCTTGTTTAAGAGAAGTCAGACTGAAAGCGCACTCTGCAGTGATGAAGCCTCATCAAATAGCTGAACTCACCTTTGCTGAGGAGCATGTTGTGTGGAGAGAGAAGAGAATTGGTCCAAAGTTCACTTTAGTGATGAGAGCAAGTTTAATTTATTTGAGTCCGATGGAAAACATTTTCTTCAAACTGGGGAAAGACTGAACCCCGAGTGCGTAAAGAAGTCAGTGAAAGCTGGAGGAGGAAGTGTCATGGTTTGGAGGATGTTTTCTGCAGCAGGAGTCGGGCCTCTTATACAGATACATGACAGTTGAATGCAAATGTTTATCAGAACCTCCTTCAGCAACATGCAGTTCCTTCCCTGCAGCATCTCCCAATCAGCCTGCAGTTTTCATGCAAGACAATGACCCCTTCACACTGCAAAATGGGTAAAGCAGTTCCTTGAAGCTAAGAACATTGAAATAATGAAATGGCGGGCCCAGAGTCCTGATCTAAACCCAACTGAAAATCTTCGACAAAGTTATGGCTAAGAAACCCACTACAGTTACCGAGCTATGGAAGAAGAATGGACCCAAGATCACACCAACACAGTGTGAGAAACTAGTGATATCCTGTGACCCCAGATGTGCTGAAGTCATTCAAAGCAAGGGCCTCTACACTTCCTACTAATTTCTGACAGCTGTAACCCTCCAAAATATTAGTTATCTTCTTTTGTGCTACAGTGGTTATTGTTCTCTAATTTTGATCACTGTTTTCCACAAAACAAAGGTTTTTGTTGAAATGCCTTGGTTATTTTGTCAAACTTGTTGTTAGTATAACAGTGGTATACTCACAGCTAATATTCATTCAAATTTTGAGCGATGAAGATTAACAATACTAAAGAAAAAAAATCAAGTATTTATAGATTGTTCTCTAATTTTGATCTCCACTGTATATTTATATATTCTAATATATATTTAATTGCTTATTTCCTAAATCTAAATCTTTTTCATGTTATATAAGTTTGAGAATGGCACACATAACCATATAAATCACAAATAAACTAAATGTTTCCAAATTAAAAGTATTTTTATTGTCACAAGAATAATTATACATTTTAGTAAGAAAATCAA